TTCCCGGCTTCAGCACTCCATTTCTCCTGTGCAGCTCTGTACATGGCCGAGCAGGCCAGGATGTGCAGCACTGGAGTTATCAGCTGATCACTCTAATGTTTGAAAACAACTGGGGACACATAGTACTATGTGTCCCCAGTTATGAATGGGAAGGAAGTGCTTTACATCACTTCTTGTTCATTATGAGTTTCTGAATGGGTAGTAGCACTCACTATAAAGGCTTCTTCCCCTTCATAACTGGATGATAGTAAATATTTACTATCTCCAGCCTCTGTACTGAGTGCTTTCCATTCATTTAGAACAGAGGCTGCAGAAAAGGAGATTGAGGGCTCTGGGTCCTCAAGTTATTTTACTATTTCAAAGGGGAAATGTCAGGGGTCTGTTTAGGCTCCTGATATTTTACCAAAGCCCCGCCAAGAGTAAAAAAAAAATACAAATAAAAAAAACAAACACACAACACCCTGCGCGCACATTATTAGACATGTGTAAAGACTTGAAGCTAGTTTTGGATGAAATGAACGGAAACTAAAAACGTTTTCATTAGTTTCGTCAAACGAAACAAAGGTTTATTTTGGATTCGGCCACCAGCTTGTTTTGCGCTGGAGGCAGGGCAGGTGATGACTCCTGTAGAGGGGGCACAATTTTCTGTTCTTGTCTCGGGCACAAAAGGAGCTAGCTACAGGTTTGCACAGAGCATCCACTGTACTCTGTTACACCTCCTTAGGAGAGAGCAAAGATTACAATAGCATACCATACATTCTTAACATGTAACAAAAACCCCTAGGTGACAGATAAGGATCCATTATTCTAATATAAGAAACAGGAACCCCACAAAAAAAAAGTGCTGGGCACCATTGGTGAAGACTATGTAGAGGTTCTGCAGCTCTACTAAAAAGTGTTTTTTTCTTCTCTTTTTAGTGTAAATAGCATTATGAATAGGGAATTTAAAACATTGCATACCAACTGTAAAGCATGGTGAGGGGAATAATAATGGTGTGGAGCCAGTCCTGACTTTAGCCCCACTAAAATACAAAGTAGGCAGTTTAAAATGCATGTAAACCCAAAAACTAAAAATATAATAGTTTGCTGCTTACCAAACCATTAACCGGTTGAGGTAGGGTTGCCACCTTTTCTTCAAGTGAAACCCGAACACTCTAGCGCCGTGCGCGGCAATTTAGTGGGGGGGGGCATATAGAGGAGTGAGGAGAAGCAGCCAGGATAGGGAGTAAGGACTACAGCAATACATTAATACAGCAATACAAAATAATATGAAGCTATATATTTTGTGTTGTTCTGGGTTGGCACCCTGATGTCTGTAGGTGGCCTGTGCGGGCTCTCAGGTGGCCTGTGCGGACTTTCAGGTGTACTATGCGCACTCTCAGGTGGGCTATGAGGCTCTCAGGTTGGCTCTGTGATCCTCAAGTGGGCTGTGCGCACTCTTAGGTGGGCTATGTGGCTCTCAGATGGGGCTGTGTGCACTCTTAGATGGGCTGTGTGCATCTTAGGTGGGCCATGTGGCTCTCAGGTGGGCCATGTGGCTCTCAATTGGGCTGTGTGCACTCTCAGGTGGGCTATGTGGCTCTCAGGTTGGCTGTGTGCACTCTCAGGTGGGCTATGTGGCTCTCAGGATGGCTGTGTTCACTCTCAGATGAGCTATGCGGCTCTCATGTGGGCTATGCAGCTCTGATAAGACTTTTCATTTAAATCTTATTGTATGATTTATCAGGTAGTACAAGTACATGGATATATTACTCAAATGTGTATTGCATTTACACTGCATGTAACTCAACACTGTTCAGTGACATGTAATGTAAATGCAATACAAATTCTTCCCAGCCCCCACTGTCTCTCCCAGTCCCCACTGTCTCTCCCAGTCCCCAGCATTCACGAACTGTAAAACTTGCCTGTGCCTGCGTTCTCTGTCTCTCTCTCGGTACCTGCAGGATGTGATGTCAGAGTCGGGAGGAGATCATGCCACAGGAGGACGAGACAGGCAGATGAGTGTGCCCGTCACAATACTGGCACCCAGCTCTCTTAGGGAGCCACAGCTCCTGTTTGAATAATGTGCCAGGGTGGGAGGCAGGGCCCCACCCAGGCACAGGATTCCAAACCCGTACTGTCCGGGCGAATACCCAGACGGGTGGCAACCCTTGGTTGAGGATCAGCATGTTAAACCTCCTTCATTAGCAGGACAGTTTTCAGTGTTGTGATAGATTGAGAATTTATCGGTTATGCAACAGTGTACCAAAATTAATTTTGTTTGAGACAGAGCTTTATACTGGTGATATTTATAACTATTTCTTTCTTCTTCCTGATATTTATAACTGCCTTTTTTGAGGGGGTTAAAACATGGAGCTTGTAATGGTGCACTAGATACATTCAATGTACAGGTCATACACAGATGGTGGAGGAGATAAAAAGGTTAAAGTACAGGTCACATACAGTGGTCCTATAGTGATGAAAGAGGTTAATGTTCAGATGTACAGGATAAGAGAGATAAGGAGGGTAATATAAAGGTCAGAGCAGATATAGAATAGAGATGACATATACAGGAGAAGGGAGGGGGTTAATGGGTTAAACATTATTATACACTTTAGTATTACTTTTTTATTTTTTGCTGCAGCTTGTTTTGACCAGGAATGACTCGTCCATTCATTACTTCCTTTGCTTTCCCCTGCCTCTGTTGTAAGTGGAAGGGGGGTACTTGGCAATTGCCACACAGCAGTCAGGGGACATCAGGCAATGAGCAACAAGAGGCAGTACTGTGAAGTGGGCTCCAGCGATTAGGTGGAGGATAAGGTGGCAGACCATCTTTGGGTGCCACCAACTAGAAAGGAGAAAAGTTCTGAGGCAGAACAGCAGTGAGGGAGGATTTTGTCCAAGGGCAGGCATAGCTTGCAGAGGACTGGAGGGAGCAACTGTCCTAATCCATCTGCTGGCACAGACTCACAGGTACAGGCCACTGCTTTCCCCAAGGCTGGTCCACAGAGCTCTTCAGTAGGGGCCCTTTTTAACCTATCTGCTGCTGACAACACTTTTGTGGTCTGCAGCCCTGCAGCACATGAGCCATGGTAAAGTTACCAGCCATTTTGATACTAAATGGAAACAATTGACTCTGCACCCCAGAGGGGACGAGGCCACGCTGAGGAGGGTAAAGCAAAGATTTGAACCTCTACACAACTCTTATATACCTACTCCACCATTTCCAGCAGTTTCGTCCCCAAGGCTAGTGCCTCTTCCATAGATGTTGGAGAGGAAGAAAAAAAAATGTCCCCAAACCCCCACCCCCCACATTTTGATACTAGCTTGGCTAAACTGCTTGATTTGCAACTGCTCCCATTCCAGCTTGTGGAATCATCCTCCTTCCATGCATGACTTCATGGCCTGTGCTACACCAATGGCTGACCATCTGTGGGTGCCACCAACTGGAGAGTCTGAGAATTCTGAGAGACAGGCAGAATAGAAGGGAGGGAGGATTTTGTCCAGGGGCAGGGGCCGTTTGCAGAGGACTGCAGGTAGCAGTAGTCCTAATTCATCTGTTGGCACTGTCCCACAGGCACAGGTCACTGCTTTCCCCAGAGCTAGTCCACAGAGCTCTGCAGTGAGGGCCCATTTTAGCATATCTGCTGCTGAGAGCCTTACTATCTGAATATCATATAAGTTGTTATGCAATGCTGTAAGATTGTAAAGCTTAAAGTCAAAAACCTCATCATGTACCTTTTAATTTGGGAGAGCTTTTTATGGCGCACACAGGGAAAAAAAATAATCGGTTTGCATAAATTATTAGTGTAGCATGAAAATATCTAATTTGGCAAGGTGCACGCTAATAGGTGTGGCTGACAATCACACATGAGCACATATGTCATGAAGGGCATGCTACAGTATATATTGGAAAGGATTATTGATGAGAGGGGATATTTTGTAGTTAATTTATAGATATTATTTAATTTGAAGTATTTTATTTTTACAGTTTTTTTTTTACTATTATCACTCACTGGGGAAACCTTTTAATGGAGATGTAAGTCCCAATACTGTGTAGACCATATCCTTTAAAAACAACAGCCTATACAATGCCCAACAATGGATGTGTCACAATGGCACACTTTGCATAGTACACTTTATTTAGCCCACACAAATATGTCCTTACAGTGAAATGGCTAATTGGTTTTGATTACGCGTTAGGTCAAAGGTTCCTAGTCTTTCCCTGCAACAGTTTTTGAACCCAAGCAAAACTTTACAGCTAATTGTTTGTTCTCTGTGTGTGTACAGTGCTGGAAAAAAACATAAACTCAACATTATATAAGTGATTTAATAAACTAAGCAAACCAGTGTTTGCTTCATGCAGAGATTCCACATACTGCCTGTAATATTTTATATTGCTGTGATCTTTTACAGTTATGGATCATGTCAGCTTTTGGAGATCATCCTCAATATACAAATGGTCTGGAACGTGAATTCTATGGATCTTCGACATGGTTTTCTATTCTCAACTTTGGACTTCCTCTGTCTGTTTTCTACAGGATGCACAGTGTGGGAGGTCTGCTGGAAGCCTATCTTACTGCCTAATTATTTCTTACCAAGATATCAAGGACTCTAATTTTCTGATGGAGATGGTATTTGTGTGATACATGGACTGTGGATAAATGTTTTAGCTATGAAACCAAATCATGGTTAAATAAAATAAATTTAAATTAACTTAAAACTCCACCTCATTCAAAAATGTAATCTAGCTATAAAATTGCTACACATTTTGTAATTTAAAGTGACGCTAAACTCAGGAGTTAAATCTTAAAATACATTCAAGTATCCTAACTAGTAAAAAAAAATGTTGTCTGAATTCATCTCTGAATTGGTGCTGACGCTGTCCTTCCTTCTGGAGGGTGACTACTTTAGTTCACCATGGTCCCTGTGTGATTTGTAAAGTAGCCACCGCTTAAAGCTTGCTTGTGATGGACTACAATGCCACATTTAGTTTACTAATTTGTATTGAGATTGTAGTCTATCAAGGGAGTGAGCTTAGAGCTTCCTCCAGAAGGAAGGACATTGTCGGCATGAATTCAGAGATAATTTGAGGATCTACAGCTAAAATGATACACAAATAAGCTACATTTTTACGCCCCCACATACACATGCAAACATGCGTCGGTGCGCCAACGTGCGAAAACGATTCCGCCTATTGTGCCTGACATGTTACATATTGCTGCGAACGTCGGAATGAGGGCAATAATTTTAGGCCCATTAATCACTGATAACATTAAACTGATGAGCGCTTAAAGCGTCGCCTATGGCCAATTTTGGGTGTGGTCGGTTTCTGTGACTTCGCAGGCGCACGCAATTTTAAAACGTTTTAAAACTTGACATGTCTGGTGTCTAGTTATGCGACATGACCCCATCTTTTATGTTATACCCAAAAAATTGGGGTAATAATAAATGTTTCATAACATTTCAAAGGGAAACAGGTTTTTTTTTCAAAATTTAGGGCAATTTTTTTTGTCCTATAGTAAAAAATAAAACCGCAGTGGTGATTAAATACCACCAAAAGAAAGCTCCATCGGTCCCCAAAAAATGGGATAAAATTAATTTCAGTACAGTGTTGCATGACGGAATAAATGTCAGTCAATGTACTGCAGCGCTAAATAATGAAAAATGGCCTGGATGGGAAGGGGGTGTAAACACCTGGTCTTCAAGTGGTTAAAATTAACTTCATATTTTGATCTGCAGTTACTGTAATTTTCTCAAAACTAAAAAAATGCAACACAATATGGCAATTTGAAGGGTACCTAAAAATATAATTCCATTTTTTTATTGGTCCACTGATTTTCCCCGAAATCTGCATGTAAACTTTTAGGCATCGACTACAGCGGGAATTTTCTTTTTGGTGAGATACTCCTTATAGCCCCGCTCACACTGTCTTGCTGCAGTTACAGGTGCAATGCCGCAACACATTTGGTGGAATGTGGTGCCATTAATTCTCAATGCACATGTGTTGCAATGTGCTGTGCCACAAAATGTTGCATGTACCTTCTTTGGTGTGTTCGGCAGCCCATTCAAATAAATAGGCTTCCTTAACACATCACATGTTAACGCATGGCTGACAAAGCACAGGAGGGAGGCAGATGGTGCAACTCTCCTCAATAGAAAACTGAGATCTGCTCTGGTGGTTATAATGAGACCATTCAGAAATGCATTAAACTCAAAGGGGAAGAAGAAATTAAGATGATTGTTGGTGGTTTAGGCTTTAAATTGCATCTACGGGTTAAAGTGTTTGTAAACCCTTAGACTGAATTTCTCTCATGTGCTTTATTTTTAGTCTGTTGAATATACCATTGAAAGCATTTTTTTTATATTTCATAATGTCAAAAAACACCTTTTGATTCTGCCAATAATTTACTGTGTATAAGGAATGGTCATGGCGACAAGGAATGGCCATGGAGACAAGGAGTGGTGAAGAACATGAGAAGATTGCTGTGCCCTTTGTAATCCATCAACAAAGTAGGGAAGGCTGACACCACATGCTTAGGATTTCAGACGTGTTGTCAGAAAAAAATGGGAAGAAGATTTGAGCACACTATATTTCTGGGACATCTACAGTTATTTCGCTGTACTTGCAGTGTGTAAAGGATAAAAGATGGGGAAATGTGCATGTGTTGCAGAGATGTATGAAATGTTTTTTTTTAGCTTGCTCTGTCATACACTTTAAAGTGACATTAAACCCTCAGATTTTTTTTAACATAAACCAATACTGTAATGTGTGCCTTACTGTAATCCATTTTTGTTTCCCTTCTCTTTGCTGCTCTTCCTTTTAAATCCTCATGTCTTCTCAGTGTTTTCCCCCATAGTTCTCCTAAGGGTCACGCGGAACATAAACTAGCGTGTACTCCCGTTACCCAAAGCTCAGTATACGACGATCTACAGCTTGCGGTATATGGCGAGCTACAGCTTGCGGTATACTGAGACCGCCGCAGCCGGGACGGATGCCGACATTACTGTTGAGATCCACCCAACTGTGTGATTGACAGCTGGCTCTGCCTATCTAGAGGCAGAGCCAGCTGTACCCGCCCCCTCCCCCATCCGTTCCGCCAGTCAGCGTTAGAGGATCGGAGAGGGGAGGGGGGAATCCCTGCAGGGAGCCGTGACAGTCACGGCTCTCTGCAGGGACAGGATCGAGAAGTGAGCGAGCGACGGTATGTGTTCGCTCATTTCCCAATCTATTGAGCCGACATGTGACAATTTCATTGTCACACGTCGGCTACAACTATGAGGCTGAGTGATTTTCACTCACCTCATGGCTCTCCTTTAAGGGCAGTCTAGTCCTTGGATGTCTTTATTAGTAATTAACGGTTCTCTGGCAAACAGTCCTTGGCTGTATCAAACAGGTTGGAGTTGCTTTCACAAAGCTAAAGGTTCCTGTTTTTTGCACCAGGTATAATACTGTAGCAATCAGACCAAAAGAGGCTTAGTGGCGGCTTCCTTGTCCCCCAGCTGTTTTCCTCCTAAGGAACAGCATGGGTTAGGTCCAGCATGGGTTAAGTTGGTTTTCTCTGATCCCCAAAGCGCTGACCCTCTGGGCCTGGGTTCAAACCAAGAGAGCCGTGACAGGATCGAGAGGTGAGCGAACCTGGTATGTGTTCGCTCACCTCCCGATCTACTGAGCAGACCTGTGACAGTCTCATTGTCACAGGTCGGCTAGAACTATGAGGTGAGTGGAAATCACTCATCTCATAGTTCTCCTTTAAGCCTCAGCCTATAGGTGAAGACTCTTCTAGCAGGTGGCTCCTTATATTTAACAGCTTACCTGTCCTAGTCCACTGAGACAAACCTCCTTAGTGACTGGACAGCTGTTAACTATGCAGTTACACTTCCAACACAGTACGGTGGGAATTTAAAAAAAGGTTGGCAGATAATATAATAAAGAAAAAACAAAAACGGGATAAGCTCGAAGAAACCTTGCACAGCCGCAAACATTTACAGGTTAAAGCAGGCTGCTAGAGAATACATCCCTATATTTGATCAAATGTGAACTTTGAGTTCCTTCACAGTATGGTTAGAAAGGAGTGCTTGGCAAGTGGTTCTAACCACTTCCAAGTGGCCCTCAATTGACAACTCGCTTTTAAGTGGCCCTCAATTGACAACTCGCTTTTAAGTGGCCGTCAAATGACAGCTTAAAAGGTGCAATTTGTTTTTTTGGCAGCAGTTATGGAATTTAGTGCTATGTAGCCACAGCTCCTTGTTTTCCATTGCTGTGTTGGGTGGTCCAGCAGTGGATAGTAACCATAAGTTATACTTGAGTGCTTGCACTGCCCTTTGAGATATTGTGGGGAATTTATGAAAGTGTTTGCCACAAAATGTTTAGGCGCAAAGACCAAAATGTCAAGCTAACTAACCACAGTGTTTTTGTTTTTCTGTTGCACGTCTTTTTTTAAATGTTCTTGCAACATACTCATATTTGCGACTCACTGCACATATTTTCCGATATTTTTTATAATTTCTAAACTGCAGGGATTTGCGTCCAGCATTTGCGACATTAAAATACCTTCAAACTGGCACACATCCTAGAAGCGCTCCTGAGCGCTTAAAAGTATCGCAAAGATAATTCGACCTTTGTATCCTCAAGTCAGCTAAGCCTTCCGGGACATGAACCACCTTGGCGGTATTCCTGAGTGTGGCTCAGGGTTAATTTTCAGTACCATAAGCGGTAACCCCGAGCCACACATGCCGGCATCAGTCTTCTGGGTTCCGTCCCTTCCGAGCGTCCGCGTCTCAGGTGGGCGGAACCGGCGCGAATTTTAAAAGTAAAAAAAAAAAAATAGAACAAAAAAGGGAAAAAAAAACAACAGCCCGCCAGGGAGGTTAAGCTGTCATCCAGGAGGTTCCTTGCAAGCTTGCAACAATTTAGAGACAGACAACTTAGAGAGAATTTTGAGACAATTCGTATGAAGGCATTTAGGAATGAAACTAACTAGTTGAATAAACCCATCACTACATGCACTAAAATTCAGAGCCAAGACAATGTAAAAGATGCTGATGATGCAACCTAATTTATAAATTCCCCCTATTGTGTACACTGTTGTGGTATATGTCACCCCACCTGGATTTCCAAATGTCTTTTGTGTAAAACTGTGCTGGTCTTCGGGAACTTATTTGCACACTGAATTAAATGGAAGTTTCTTTCTCAGTAGTATGAATATACAACATTTAACTCCTTCAACTGAATGGCATACAACACAAGACTATAATGTATGAATTGCTTTACAGGGATGCTGGCATCCTACACTTGTAAATGGGTGATGGATGTATTTGGATTTAGTGTGGTTGTAATCAGTGATTTTATTATACATTGGGAAGTTATTTTGTATCGGGGTTGTAGTTATTTGTATTGCAAAATTATATTGCTATTAAAGGATAGTTTGTAACATGATCTGCTCGTGTGTCCTAGCTTCTTCTTTCAGTTGATGTTCAAACTTGCGCGTGCCCGCGAAAAGCTACGATACCCAAAATTGTCCATATGGTTATGTTTGTACAGATAATTAGTTTAGGGTTATCCATAAATCATGATCATAGAATGATTGCTTTTATTCTTGAATGTACAGCAATACAAAAAATATGTGTAGTGCATTTGTTCTCATTCATAGGCCCACCCAACACATGTTTGCATTTGTGTGTGCGTGTATGCGGTGCAGGGGACATTAAAAAACGTTTTTTGGGGTGTTTTTTTTTATGTAACTATTTTTTTCAAATGAATTTGTTGCCAGGGAACCGCCCAGGGAAGTGATTGGGTGGATGTATGCTATACACAGGCGCTAGTAAAATGGTTAAATATGTAGTAGCAGAATACTGCGACTCCTCAAGGATAACCTCAACAGGCAAAGATTGGAAAATATCAGATATATAGTCACTGCGACTGATGGCTCAGAAGCCGCTTAGGCTGCAGGCAGAGCAGCCAGTCAACAGGGGAAGGCGTGAGAGTGCACTTAAAGTCTTGGACCTGGGCGAATTGGGCCCTAAAGTCTTGCATGACTGTAGTAGAAGCCCTGGATGACAAGGAGGGGACCTCAGCCACATCCAGCAGAGCCGAGGAGGACTGAGGTGACTAATTAGAGTCTATGAGCAGAGGATAAAAGGATTTCAGATTACATGTGTTAGCATCTTCAGAGGTCATGGAACAAACATCCCTAGAACCGTTAATACAGTGGTAGCTGGGAATACAGTGGGACTGTCCCCTCTGTGTTAAGAAACAGACATGCTGTGACTGCGTAGTGTTTAGGCAAATAATTTCAGAGTATGAGACAAGGCCTCAGGTACTCACGAAACCTAGACAGGTGGTAGCGGGCACAGCATGTCCCTTCCACAACAAGAACTGGCTAGAAACAGGGGTTTTTAAAAGTGACCAGTGTGACAGAATTAGTATACCTGACAGAATTAGTATAATGCCTGTTGGCATACAGTAAGCTCAGTACAAAGTGTCTCTTTACCAACGTGCTTCTGGTTGTAGCAATACAGTCCTGATCGAGTCCCTGCGGACACGTTTCTGCCTTTGTCAATATTCTACTGATGATATCTCTGCAGACATGATAGTACCCAAGCACAAAGGAATTGATTGTGTGTCTGTGGACATGCATGTCTCAGTATGGGACTGGATGTTGAGACATTTCTGCTTGTTAATACAGTGCCGATTGCATCTGTGGATACATTCCTGGTTGCCTTTATGATACCGATTGTACATCTGAGGACATGTTTCTGGTTGTGTCAATATGGTACTGATGACGTCTCCTCAGAGGTATTTTTTGTGTCAACACTGTACTCATGTTTTGGACTGGACTTGCTGTATTTTTCTTGAAGACGTTTCGCTGGTCATACGACTAACAATCCGACTAACTCTCAGTTCAGAATGACTTGTACAAAAATACAGGGCTTGAAAAATTTTAGGGTGTCTCACCAGTCAGTCAAAAATGTCACCATTCAGCATGACCGGATTATAGCCTTGCAATTTGTTAACATTGTTTAGGGACAGATAGAGCTTTCTTTTGGTGGTATATAAATCACCTCGGCCATAGGCTTAAAACACTTTTATTGCTCATCAGTTTAGTGTTATCAGTAATTAATGGCCCTAAAATAATTGCTCTCACTCAGACGGTGCACGTAGGCGCACCCGACGTATATCTACGTGTGTATGTGGTGGGCGGGGGACTTTAAAAAAAAGTTGTGTGGTTTTTTTTTATGCTTCTTTCATTTTTGTATTGTTATCACATAGGGGACTAAGAAGTCCCCTATGTGATAGCCAATTTACATGACAGGTCCTCTTTATGGAGACATCAGTGGTCTCAAAGACCTCTAATGTCACCTAGGGACCCCCAGAGAAGCTGATGAAGCAGAGATCTGCTTCATCAGCTTCTGTAGCTTGAGAGCGACACTGAATGCAGGAAGTGATGTAATATACATCACTGCATTCGGGGACTGAGAGGAGATCAAAGGGAGATCGCTTTGCTCTCCTGTCACAGAGCAGCCGTGCCGGTCCCGGCCGCATCGGGCACAGCGGATCTCGGGACCGGCAGTGGCTCCTATACAAGCGATCGGGCGTCTCTAGAGACGCCCGATCACTTGAATGTAAAGCTCCCGGTCGGCCGTGTAATTACAACGGCCGGCCGGAAAGCTGCTAGTCGGGCTCCACCATCCTCTCGTCACAGACGAGTGGATTTTTCAAGCCCCGCTCTGGAAATAAATAAGGTGAATGTTGCTCCAATTAACATTGTTAAATCACTACTACAACATTAAAATGTTATTTGGAGCAATATTCACCATATTTATTACCAGGGAATTTTTGTCTCATGTTGTTTCTGCGGACATGCTCCTGGTTGTGATTGTCTTAATTTGGTTTAGATCAAACTTCTGTAGGTGGGATTGTGTATGTGCTACAATATATAGGCTATAAGAAAATAAAAGTATAAATCTGGCCCTGATGTCTAGTTACACTCCTGAGCACCCATATACTTGAAAAGTGGTTGCCTGAAAACCAATTTGAAATGCGCTGATTCATATTCTTGCAGTATATGGGCTACAAATTGATATATCAGACAGCCAGAAAATCACCACCACCAGATTATAATTTTTTATTTGAACCAATGCCTTTTCTCCACCTTTAATGCAGGGCCTAACCTTCTGCCACGCTATAAAAATATAATATACTTTTTAATACTGCTTGTATTAGGAAGGAAAACAAACATTCTTATGATGGCTGAGTTGTTTCCTCTAAAATGAAAGCCATCATGTGGCTATCCTAAGCAGTTACTTTAATTTTGTTTAGGGCTGGTAATGATTAACATTTTCGTGTTCGATTAATCGAAAAATTTTTTACATCGATTAATTTCGGTTATAATGCACATACAGATCCAACTACACTGGCCTATACACATACAGCACAGCAATGAAGTAATAAAATGAACTAGGATCACACTAATCCAGCACGTTATTAATCTCACGTGCCCCACTCAATATGGCCGACGCTTGAGTGGGGCAACTCAGAATAATAACGTGCTGGATTAGTGTGATCCTAGTTCATTTTATTACTTCATTGCTGTGCTGAATGTGTATATGCCAATGCCTTGGCTGTCACTCGTGCAGAAAGTTTCTAGGGCAAACTCACCGGCCCAAGTGGCTAACGAAGGTCAGAGGAGTCCGGTGACGTAACGGACATAGACGTCACCGGACTACTCCCCCCTTCCCTTCGTTAGCCGTCACGGACATCGACGTCACCGGATCGCCGACGGGACTCCCGGGAAGCCGGCGGAGAGGTGAGTGTTTTCATTAGCGATCAAAATAATTTTAATCGAAAAGTTTAACGATTAAATCGAGAAATTAATCTTTAATTTCCACAGCCCTAATTTTGTTCAATAATCTTTTTTAAGATGAACTATGTCCACTGCCCAAGTAGCTATCTATAGAGAGAAATACTCAGCGCTGACTTATCACTTGGCTTCAATGCACATTGGACTTTGTTAGAAATAGCTTCACATCACCCTGTGTAATCAAGAACTTAGGGGAAGATTTATTGGGTACATAAAACAGATAATGGGAAAGTATTTATCCAAACCAGTTCCAGAACATAAAAAAGCACAACGCACACAAAGACAGCAAATATATAAACATCAACCCTGCCTATAAATGTCACAGTAATTAACCTAACAATCAGAATAAAAGATTTATAGAGCAGTCAAAGGATCAATTTGCAACCCCTAAACCTGTCACACACAGAAAATGAATTCCCATAGACTAATTTATTAATATAATTTAATACATTACATCTGATTCACATAGTGGTGAAGGTGGAGTGCTTCAGAGTGTGGGATTTGTACACAGGACCTCCCCATGTACATATAAGAAAATTTGCAAAATGTTACAGAAGAGGAAGAACATCAGGAAAAATAGGATTTTTCACTTACTAGCAAAATCCGTTCCTAAGAGGACAGGTCACAAGCAGAATCAGAGGTGACTGGGTAATATGCAGGTATCATCAGGTGATTGGAGACTGTCCAGAGAGGTGAGGACCTTCATATTACCCCTCCCACTCCAGGATATTCGCAGTTATTAATCATGGTCATAGAGTACAGGACCCAGACAGATTCAGGAGACAACTGGGACATCCACAAGCAATGCACTGAGGGGTAGGCAACAGAGCAAAACTAACAACAAAGCACCGTTACAGGCCAGCCCCGTGTCTTCAGTCTGGCAGGGTCCGGGTACGGTCCCCAAAGCTGCTGCCATATGGTCCCAATCCGGAAGCTGCAAAGTAGCTGATCTGGCTGTATGCAGTCAGAAGATCTTACATGAAGAAACCATGTAACACGTAGAAATAAGGTTAATAAACTCCACTCAAGAGATACCACTCAGGAGAGGAGACATCCATCATCTACGGACACTAGCAAAAAAATTAGGATTTCCTGGAGGAGGTGGGGGTATATGAGGGTCTTCACAGCTCTGGCCAGTATCCAATCACCTGATGATACCTGCATATTATCCAGTCAGCTCAGGATGTCCTGAACCGTACAATCAAGAAATCAGACTTGTATAATCCACTTTCTACCTGGCACTGAGCTAGGAGTAGCAGCATGCTGCCAGAGCAAACTATGATTTGTAGCTCAGCACCCAGGATTCCATTCATCTTACCATGATCAAAAATCAATATAAAAACAAAAATAGGAAAGTAACACAAAGCTTTTTAGAAATACAAGAGATATGATATGCGTTTTCATGGAGTGATTTAGTATGCTTGTGGTCAATTACATTGAAATTCATGGAGGGGAAGAAGTATCCTATGACGATGCTTCAGATATGTGTGACAGGTAATGAGCAGGTATTAATATTTAAAAGTAGATATTTAAACTCTCTGGATTTCAAAAAGCTTCACATCAGTGTCATACCAGATTGGAGGGTCCATGTTCCTGTGAATGACACAAAAAGTACATCTGTGAGTATGGTTTATAAGTACTGCAGACACTATTTGCTTCAAACACTTCAATATCAAAGTCCATTCCACATTGTGGCATTTTAACTAGGGATGTTCAGATAAGTACAAGTATAGATACTTTTCCAACTCCAGGACCAGACTAGAGAAAAATTAAAAATTTAGGAGGCAGCTGTCATTTTTAAAGGAGCATACGGAGCGCCTGGGATTCGTACATCCCCATTTTAATGTATTGGGTTTTAAAAAAAATAAATATATATAACTGATGCACCGATACCATTTTTCCAAGTACCAGTACTGATACCTGTCCAACTACTCACGATACAAATACTGATAATACTGATACAAATACTGATAAACAATACCGACTAATGATTTCAGGACAGTGGTGGAGCACCAGAGCTAGGTCCCAGCTGCAACCTCTGCAACTCTGGTAGTTCTCGTGAAAAAAATGCCAAGTATCGGCTGCAACATACAACATGCGCAACAATGCGCCTTGTGATTCAATTTGAGTGGCACCTCAACACATTGTTAAAGTAGCTGGCAATGTATCAGAACTGCACCCCACTACAATGCATATAAAGTATTATGCATGGCGGTGCATGTCCAATGTTTAGCGTGTTACAGTAGAACTGCGACCTTCCATTAAAAAAAAATATGTTTGTGTTCGCTGTGAATTTATTTGGTGTATGAGACACACCTGGAGGAATTGGAAGACACAAAAGCTTGTAACTTTGATTAAAGCAAAGCCTCATGTGTTGCTTTTTGCTTTGTTGAAATTACTGCTCAAATATTTGCAAATGTATGTAACAAAAATCACAAAAATCGGTTTTAAAATAAAATTCTAGAAACATTGGAGATTTAGATATGCTGACTAGCTGGATGAAGTGAAGAAATGTGTGCATTGTTCTGCCCTACCCAAGTGTACTTTTTTTTTAGAAAGAAATGTCAGCTGCTCCAATCAATTTATGTTTATTGGATTTCCTACAGACACACACTGGGAGTTTTGTGTCTTGATCAAGTCTGGGCTTCTGGTGTGTTTCTGTACCTATGAGGAGGATGGGCCTACTGCTAATGTATGCCTGCTCTCAATGTATGCATTGCTATATATATGTCCAAGATAGTTCAGAGTCAGGGGCCACACTGTGCAGAGGCGCATGGACGCAGTAAAACTCAGTAAATGGTCAAAAGTTTGTGAACAACTGGCCATCACACCTATATAAGCTTGCTGGATATCCCAATGCAAACCCTAGGCATTTAAGGCTATGACAACCTCCATACTTCTGGGGGTATATTTCCACTAAAGTTTGCAGTGTGAATTTGTGCACACTCCGACAAAGGAACATTTCTGATGTCAGGAACTGATGCTGGACGAAAAGACCTCCTCGCAATCTGCGTTCGAGTTCATCTCAAAGGCGTTTAGTCAGGTTGAGGGCAGGGCTTTATGCAGGCCACTTGAGTTCCTCCAAACCAAACTCATAGGGCTAGTTCACACCAGAACTGCGTGCGTCTGCGCAGCTGCAGTGCGATGAGCGTTGCTCCGATTTTACCGCGATTGACACTTTTTTTTTTGCTTTAAATTGGATTTCAGGCGCGTTCCAGTACGTTTAGATGTGTTTTTGAGGCATTCCATTGTGATCCGATGCAGCTAAAATAGGGCAAGCAGTATTTTTTCTGAACAGACTGCACTGATGTGAAGAGAGCAGAAGATCTCATAGGAAAGCATTGTGATGCATTTTGAATGCACCTGCCAAACTGAACAGACTGCATCACAACTGCATCTGGTGTGAACTAGCCCTTAAACTTGGCTTTGTGCACCTGAACTCAATAGTCTGGAGAGGTGTCCACATACTTTCAGCCATATTTTGTCGATATAAAACACATATACATAGTTGCATTGTTCTTTTTTACTATTCATTTACTGTGTTTCTGTTCTTACTACTGGAACAACAAATTTATGTCATCTCATTGTATTTCTATTCTCATTGTTATAAACCAATATTAAAAAAACACACATACATATAGTGTGTGCGTGTGTATGTGTGCATGTGTGCATGTGTGCTGTGTATATATAATAAGGCAAACAGCTTTTCTGAAATGGGAAAAGAAACGGCATACAAGTATTAACATTTTTTGACACAGCTTATCTACATAATATGTATATTAATATATGACATTTATATAGAAAGACAGACACGTTTCAAAGGGGAATTGTTAAAAAAGGGGGGGAGAGGGGGGCAGGAGCTTTTAGCACAGCATATTGGCACATTATGGCAGATTTACCTGCCAAACCGATCCCCTCCAACCCTACATGCTCCATCTTCCAAGTTTCAAGTCTTCGATATGAGCATGCCAGGTCTGTGCACCAAGCTGCGCATGCGTGGCTCAGTGAACAGAAAAAAAATTGCTGAATGACAGCAAGAAGTTTTTATGGCAGAAGAAACTAGTTCCCGTTCACACCTAGGCATTTTGTCACTCAAAGCTAAGCATGACAAAACACTCAAGGCAAGGAATTCATTTCTATGGCCCCTGTTGACACCTGAGCAATTTGTTGCAAGCAGAAAAACGCCTGTCGCTGGAAAAAGTACAGGAGATACTTTTTGGCAGATTACAGTGCTTTTGGTCCCATAGAGTTGGGGAACATAGGCCATTTAAATGAATGGGATTCCTCGTCTTGAGCATTTTGTCACGCTTGGCTTTGAGCGACAAAACGCCTAGATGTAAACGGTGACTATAGTGGAAGCAAATGATTAAAAACAAAACTGCCATTTGGCAGGCTTTATATGACAGAAGAGACTGTAAAGTGTTTTGTAACGAAACTTACTATTAGTATCTATTAATTAATATCACATTTGAAGTAACTTATAAAAAAGTAAACGGTATATGTCTTTGTGTTTAGCATTAAAAAAAAACTGATTTATTTTTAGTCCAGTAAATATGAAATGTTTAATAGTCCATATATATTCCACTTGCAAGCAGTAGGTGGGAATTTATATCGGAGTTCAGAGCTGTGTAAAGTCTCAATGAGAGCACCAATAGCACCAAAATGTGAAAAAGAAAAGAAAATGTAAAAAAAAACAACAAAAAAAACAAAACAAAAAAAACCACACGACTCTGGCTTGGTACCCATGGAAGAGATGGCAAACAAGGGGCAAAGCTGCTCACTAGCCGATTTTGTGTAAAAAAATAAAAATAAATAGATTCTGAACAAAAATCTGGTTTCAGTTGGTTAATTCTTGCAATGTACAAAGCCCAATCTGTACTTCCTTCTCCAGACAGCTGCAGGCTAAACATACTTACCTAAGGTAGATGACCCCCCACATATATGTGCGGAACCACATAGCTGTGCCTGCATTGGCCTGGTATTTGCGGATCAGGATGGGATGGGGCACAGGCAGTAACCCCACCAAGGTCCCATGCTGCAAAAACTTGAGAATTTCGGACTCATCAGTCAGTCCCCTGCAGGTTACAAAATACGAATGTTACATGATTTTTTTAGGTAAGAAGCGACTCATGCATGCAGATTGCAAAATTAAATACCATAAGTAAGATACTGTTAACTGAATGTGAAATCTTTATAAGCAGCAAACACTAAAGACGAAGAACAATCTAACAGACAGGGTATACATAGCTGCATATGACATTTTCACTTATCCCACTGTTCTGCAAAGGGTTTCGGAAAGGCACACATACACATGTCATGAGTGTTGCCTTTCATCTGTAGACTACTCATTGAAGTACATTTATAGTCATGGGGTATGAATTGCCAAGCCAGTGTTAAATTTTAGGCCTCAATCACTTCCAAAGTCATTATTAAAAACAAAAGGTCTCTTAGCATGTGTAAAAATAAAAGGTTTACACTGTCCTGTGCTCTCTTCCCTCTCCCAGACACTTCATTGACACTATCATCAAGGTAAACAATTGCAGGTAAAATCAAGGATTTTAATGCTTGTAGCATTTTTTCTTTCTATAGCTATTCCTTATTCCCTTGTAAGCCGCCTTCGAACCTTCTATAAAATATGACTTCTTCAGGGAGAGTCAATTTCATAGCATAGCCCTCCCCCTCCTTGTACATCATAGCCCTCTCCTCTTCTATTAGTGTCTACCCTCTGTGCTGGCCTAGCACCTCTGTCCTCCCATCTTTCTACATAACCTTTTATGTACTCGCCAGGGGGAAAAAAGCAAAGGGGAATACTAAAGAATGTCAATTCAGTGACAGCTCTGAGTCTGCTGGGGCTTCTGACATCATATGCAAGATGGTGGCACCCAAACAACAGTCTCAGGGTTTTATGGCGGTCTACAGATAGGAGACTTTCCAAGTTAATAACATGCATAAAATTCATTAAATACACATATAATCTTATAGGACGAGTGCTGCTGAAATGAATGATCTGGTGTCATGGTCTCATTAATGCAAACTAGGCAGTGTGGCAAGCAATAGCAGGGGAAACTGTGAAAGCAGAAAAAAAGGGTAAGGTGTGGTCAAACAGATAAGCAAAAAAACTTGTCCATCAGTGGCGGCAAGGCTGTTAAGCCTCACAGACACAGACAAATGGCAGTTCATAGTTTGCCACCTTGGAAGCATAGTGACAATCGGTTACCTGCGTCTCCGAATAGCCCCACTGTGCTCTGTAGACAGGCTACAACAGTCAACCTAAAACACTACAGGATGAGAAATAAGGGGGGTGATCATGGAAACAGCTGGCATACTATTACTTTTTTGGGCGAGCCATCTGATCATTAGTGAGATTGGAGAGGGTAATTCCATTTTCCCAAATTTGCCTGGGAAAGTTGAATTACCCTTTAAAGAAAATATATACAAAAAACAAAATTTTCTCTTTAGGAAAGGCTTAAAGCTTATCACCATAACCGAGTTCCCAGCCCAGTTCTCACTTGTCAATGCAGATCTTCTCAACTTGAGGAACCAAGACCTGTAGAAGCCGCATAATTGTCTGAAGAGGTAGTTTCACCTTCCAGGACAGGACCTGTTGGCATTTACAAAAAAAGAAATGTTGATCTTCACATATAAATACAGAACAAAAAAATGCTAAAAATGGGACAAACATATTGGCATACGAGACAGCAAAAGTATGTAATAGGTTTACTTCATTAAATGGACCTACATTTCAAGAATCCAAGCAGTTCATGAGCATGATTTTAAGCCAACTAGTGCTACAGAAAGAAATACTGGCAATATTCCTTGAACCTCTCTAGGGCCTTCCAGGCAATCACCTGGAAAGTTCCATTAGAAAATGGTACATTTGGAAGACCTGCACACATGGGAATATTTTCCAGGCCAATTGGAAGGTTGAAGAGGCAGGAAGAATCAGACCAGTTCCAGGAACCATGGAAGCTGGTCTCTGGTTCCATTACATATTTTCGTGGCATTCTGCTGGACATCTAAGCTAGAATGCAGGGAACAGGAGGTGCCTGGAGAAGCTAGTAGTAGTCAAATTCCACTGGACTGTTTCTGTAATCTTGAAGATATTTTGTACCTTATCCAAGTCACTTTTTTAGTTCAAATGATTGACAGGAACAAAGTGGAGTATATATATCTACATAAGTATGTCAAAGAAGATGTTGATTATCCAAGAACAGAATGGAAGGTGTGAAAGTTGTAGAACCACCCTGTTCTAGTTATATAATCCGTTCTTGGTGTCAGAGTCTGCACACGTGCTAATCGTACTATTCACATGGCTGGAGGTGTAAGTTATCATCAAATCTCTGGGGTAGAGATGTTAAAACTGTCCCTTTTCCTTAAGATGAAGGAAAACTGTCGAGTCTTAACCTGTAGAATCTGCCCTCCTATGCTGGGCCATTCATGTAAGATGTTATGTCATCCCAAATGTACAGGTCTTTGCATTTCTCATTAGCACTACATATAACAAGTTACTTCGCTCATTTGGGTCTTGTTGGGATCTGCATTTTTGGGTGGCAGTTTACATTTTCTGGGGACACTTTATTTTTAAATTTAACAGCAGCAGGACAGACTTCCCAGTGGCGGAAAGCTTTTGCAGAACTGACCACAAATAGGGGAACTTTAAGAGCCAGAAACAAGGAAAGAATCAGATTATAAATGCATCAATGTATTATATTATACTGAGGCCTAAACCGAGACAGGAGCTGCCATCTTGACCATAATGTGGTCATCTGTATAGTTGAAAAATCTGCCTTGATAATTAGCAGATAATGCCAAAGCTCCTGCAATATTTTTTATAATATTTAATCAATTTCTATGCACATGGTCTCAACTTCAGCACTATCTGAAATCAATCTCCTCCCCTCCAGGAATCAAGACCCAACCCCATCACTTAACCGTTTTGATGCTGTATCAATTTTTTGCCACACATGCGAAAATGCACCTTTTTTAAGCCTAAAATAGTCCTACATTCAGTAACTAACAGGGCTATTCACAAAAGGGCGAAGATTTTGGAGAAGGCAGGAGAAGTGAACAATCTAGGACAACATAGCTGAACTGGAAAGTGAGCTGAATTGGAGAATTTCTCCAAATCAGCTATTTTGGCCTAGATTGTTCACTTCTCCCGCCTTCTCCAAACTCTTCACCTTTTTGTGAATGGCCCTGCAAGTGATGTAGAAGCTTTATAAAGTAAACAAAAAAACTTCCTTTGCCAAGTCCTATTTGCATCTCACATACACATCCAAAAAGATGTGGGCAGGACTAGGTGTGGCCAGGTGCTGAATCGACAAGCTGTAGACCTGTCAGTCAGCGGTGACGGTGTTGATAGTCACCCCCTGCAACTTTTTTTTTATCCTACTATAATGCAAAGAGACCCAGCCTACAGTTTGCTCTGAATTTAGGAGCAGTGCAGTATCATTGCCACTCCATCACAGGAAATTGCATTGTGTGGACTTCAATGGCAGACTTAACAGGTATTTGTGGGACTTTGCAGGGTAGGGAAAAAACTAAGTGCAGATGCACTTGCAATAACTTGCTGCAACACGTTTTTTTGAGAGTCCATAGTTCTACTTGTAGTAACACTTTTGCAATGCGTTAAGGCATGCATGTTACCATGCACTGCATACAGGCACCCCATCAGTTTAAATGGGCTGCATAATGCATTGAAAAGGTGCAGGCACTGTTTTATGCAACACAGCAGGTGCGTTCCGTTGAGATATCATTAAGAATTAAAAACCCTGCATTGTAAAATTTCAAGATGAGGTTGTACGGGATTAAGGAGGTATTTATTGACAAAGTATTTAGTCTTAATCGTTAATTGTGACCGTTGATAATATGCCACCCATGGCAGTAAATGATGAATGGCATTTTATAGTAAGCAATTACATTATTACCCAATTGCTAATTGCACAATTATTGAAAATAATTGTGAATGTGCATAACATGCCATCCATCATTTACGGCCATGGATGGCATATTATCAACGGTCACAACTAACAATTACAAATTAATACGTTGTAAATAAATGCCTGTTTCCTCGCTAATCCCATCTGTGCGCAAGCGCAGTGGCTGAGGTCAGAAAATTCGACTGGGTCAGCATTCTCGACAGAACTCCAGCAGAAAAACCCAAAAGACTATAAAGACTATTACAGATGTTCCTCGTGTTGCGATCAATCGAGTTACGATGGAGTTTACTGTACAGTACACTCCAGGTATTCGGCACCCACAGATCGGTAGTTTCTGGTTGCTTGAGAGTCAATAGCAACGCTCAAGCAATTATCCCCGAGGCTCTCCGCTTCCCTATTTACCCGCCGGCTCACTTCCGCAGCCAGCAGGTGAATGTAAACAGCTGGGATCAATAGCAAGACTGCTATTGGCCACTTCAAATTGCAATAGCCAATAGCAGGCTGGCTATTGCACCCGCCCAGTGAGCAGAGGAGCGGACCTGAGAGAGAGCTTTCTCAGGTCCACTCCTCCTATTGCAATTTGAAATAGCCAATAGCAGTCTTGCTATTGATTCCCATTTTGTCCTGTCTTCTTGTGTACTGTACTGCCACGGTCAAAAGCAAACTCCTCGATATTTTTGCTTTATGATGGATTTTCCGGAACACAACCCCATCGTAACCCGAGGAGTGTCTGTAGTTTATTTTTTAGCTAATACAAGCCCACTATAACCTCTTTTTTAGGTAAATATAAAAGATGAGACTGTATATATAAAGGCATACAGGGAATAAAGCCTACTGGCTGCAGGAAACTACTGAAGTGAAGTTACCATGCGAGTTAACTTAAATGAATAACTGCAAAAATGAGATATCTGTGAAAAGGACGCGTACACTACCGACAGGTTTTTGTTACACTGATAACACTAGCATGTAGTGAGGAGTAAGCATCAGCCATTGTTATGCGTTTTGGCAGTATCCTTTCCATTATAGAGCTCTGTCTGCATTAAGACACCAACAGACAGGTAGCAATATAGTGCTAACAGAAAATACTCTCATCACATACTTCGTGGTTAATTTAGGATGCATTGCTTTATTATAGGACTCCCAATTTTTATTTACTACCTACAGCTTAAAACTCATGCCAAGTGTCCCATTAAATACTTCCTCTTTGGTTATTCTTGGAGCTATATCTTTTCACTGTGTGACTTTGAGCATTATAAATACTCACTATTCAAGCATCTATATTTCATGTTATATTGTTTTGGATAGTAAAAGCAAAGCCATATATCATTGCAATATTAGGACACTGCCATATACATGTCTTCATGATTTTATATACACTCCTTTTTTAGTAGCAATCCATTTGCTTCTATAATTAAAGGGCTTGCTTATTAAAAGACAATAGTCACAGGGCATGTCTTCTAGTTTACTAACCATGTTCTTCGGAAACAAGGGAAAAATGTATGCTCGTTTTAACCCTTTAAGACAAAAGTCTGAATAGTAAGACCAGTCATTCATCTGCTCTTAAAGTGACACTAAACTCAGGAGTTAAGTCTTAAAATGTATCTTATTTGTGGAACCACTCGGCTGTAGATCCTCAAATCATCTCTGAATTGGTGCCGACACCATCGTTCCTTCTTGCTCACTCCTGTAATGGACTACAATCTCAATACAATTTAGCTAACAATTTAGCTAACTAACTATGAGATTTAGTCATCACAAGAGTGAGCTTAGAGTGGTGTCCACTAGACAACACACACATGGAACATGGGGGAACAAAGTAGCCACCCTCCAGAAGGAAATGGCATATAAAAGGAGCTGGATTTGAAACTTTCTTACATTTTTCAAAAAAGGGGGTGGAATCACTGTTTGAGCCCAATGGCTTAGGTTAGGCAGCTCTTCTGCAGGAATCGGGAGACCCCTAGAAGATGGGCTGACACCCGAACCTGGAAATCCAAATGTAACGGGTTGATTGAGAGCACCAGACCAAAAAAAGTGCAAAATCTTTTAATCAATCAACAGTAGATCCTTAAATCATCTCTAAATTCATGCTGACACTGTCTTTTGTTCTGAATGTAATGGGTAAATTGAGAACGCCCGACCAAGAAAGTTTAGAGTCCAAAAACAAATCATGACAATATTGCTTACAAGAACAAATGAATAAACCAACAGTAGTGTCATAATGGTATAACCATTTGAAACAGATAAAAGAATCTGTACCTTGCACTGAGAAGTGAAGTGCTTAAACTTGGAGATTGAGAACATCTTGAACAGAGGTTATTTTATCTTTGATTTTAAATTATTTCAAATGGTTATACCATTATGACACTACTGTTGGTTTATTAATTTGTTCTTACATTTCTTTAAGCAATATTGTCATGATGTTCATTCTTATAAGTTTTATTTTTTATGGTCTTCTTCAGCCCTCATGAAGGGGGGAATTGTGGCCCCCGAAACGCGTTGGCTATCTTCTGTTGTTTTTGCTGTTAATCAGTTGAGTGATTAAAAGATTTTGGACTCAACTTTTCTTTGGTCTCAATCTACCCATTACATCCAGAAGGAAGGACAGTGTCAGTATGAATTCAGAGATGATTTGAGGATCTACAGCTGAGTGATACACAAATAAGATAAATTTTTGTTAATAGTTAGGGTACTTTAATGTATTTTAAGGATTTATCTCCTGAGTTTAGTGTCACTTTCATTGTTTTACTATGGTTGAATCTATGATGGACAGTGCTGCACCATATGTTTCCCCCCATCTGTTAATATGCTGCATTTCTGACAAAATTAAACCCTTATAATTTGGATGTGTGTTCTAACCTAGAGTGTTTTCCATGGTTTTTGCATTGTGGGAGTTTACATGTTCAAGCAGAACTCTACTGGGTTTTTAAACCTTTTGCTGGCAGAGCCATTTGTTACATGTTAAAATGGACATTTTAGGCATGAAAATAAAATTACAGCCCCCTAAAATTCTATATTTCCTGAAAGCAGACAGCCTGTAGAATAAAATGGCGGTGGTTGCAATTTCTTATGTCACATGATATAAGTGCAATAGTTTAATCAAACCCTTATCACATTTCTGACATGCAGTCATTTGTTTTCTTATATATTCTATCATGACTCACCCAGTCGGTAGATGGATTCCACTGAGATGAAGTGCTTGATAGCCTTCTTCTCTGCACGCTCTGTGTACCATCCTGCAAAATACATTTTGAAATGTGGGCATAGTGAAGATGATGTCATTTTGAAACATGTAACCTTAAAAAGGAAACCTGGAATTACAGAAAAAAAATAAAAAATTATATATCTATATATAGATATCTATATATAGCCTTCATGAAACGCTAGTTCCCCGACTATCATTCAGCTGTGACTTCACCCTGTCCTCCTTTGCCTTTTACAGTTTAGTGGCCCGAAGGATGAGCAAGCCAGCCAGGACGCTAGCATTTTCAGAAGAGCAATGTCATTCTCCATATTTCTAAGTTTTATAATTTGCGTTCACAATGCTACTGCAGACAGAGCATACACCACTCTGGCTGGCAGGTTAAAGAGGAACTGAAGTCTGGAAGCGGTTTATAAAAAGGAGGCAGGTATTGGACAAAAGGACTAGTCCGCAGTATTCCTTGTAGTTTACCTGCAGCTGATTTTGCCCACATTTCTGATTTGCCATGCCCTGTTCTGCACCGTGCAGATATACAACCATGAGGCTAGAGGTACAGGGGTGCCTAGGCACGCTCACATACTATAAAAAGCACTGCTATTTTTCAAAAAGGAAAAATTCCTACTATCTTGTGCCATAATTACACTGAACCCAATAGAGTATTGTGCGGTAACAGGATAAATGTGGCTGGATTGCTGCAGAAATAAAAAAGTGATACTCACCTGATCCTTATTTCGTTTTTTTAGTCCCTAAACGAAAACGAGCACTTAACCTTTTCAAGTGAAGGGGGAAGCCCCACTGCAATGGTTAATAAAATGTTTTCCCAGAGTTGTTCTTTAAGCCTTATTAGGTCAGTTTTCAGGTTTCTACCCAGCAGTGCAAATGCACCTGTTCAGGATCAAACTGGTTTTCCTAGTGCTTCTCAGATATACTACGTACAATATACTGTATATATAGAGAACATAATGCCAGAAAAAAAATGACTTCTCTGTCACATGATCCACTCACCCCACTCTGAGACTCTGTGTCACTCAGGGGGCGGGATGGTACACTCTCTCCAGGTGACGAGGGAGCATCAGGATCAATAGCTCGTAAAGTGCCATCCTCCGATACCTGGGCTTTCTCTGTAAGCTTTTCTATAGCTAGTGAGTAAAGAAGAAAAAAAACAAACAATTTTAGAGTAGTTTTTCAGGAAATATGCAAATACATACAGTACATGACTGAGCGTGCATTTAAAACGAATTTGCGTCCAGAGCAATTTTTTTTAACAAGTTGCAAAAAAGTTGCACAATATTTATGCAAATCAATATTTTTAGCAAAAAATACACTACAATCAATTTCAGTGCATACATCAGAGCATCAGAATACAATACCCAATTTTTTGGTAAAACATGAAAGATAGGGTTGTGTCAGGTAAATGGATATTAAACATGTCACACCGGGTTGGGTCAGGTAAATGGATATTAAAACATGTCACACCTTACAACTATGTGCACCCGTGAAATGATCTAAAAATGTTTCTGCAACCGCAGTATCCAAAATTGCCAATCGCCCATGCTTTACAATTCTTTACCGATCATCAATTTAATGATAATAGTGAGTGATGAAGCTAAAATGATTGTTCTCACTCGGACATTCAAGGCAATATGCAACGTGGGCCGCAATAGTTGTTTTCACACAGAGTGGTGCATACAACACGTGTTTGCATTTGTATGTGCCAGTACATAGGGGTGGGGGAGTTTAAAACATTTTTTTACTCATTTCAGACAGCTGGAAGACACCCGTGACAGCTGCTACACCTGGGAGACACCCGTGACAGCTGCTACACCTGGGAGGCACCTGCGGCATTAAGTAGAAGCGGACACAGACTCTGAGGCCTGGTTCACACGCAGGCGGTTTATTGTGCGTATTCAGTCACATGATAACACGCAAACCACAAAAACCCATACAAGTCAATGGCGACCGTTCACAACTAAGCATTGCGTCATGCATGCAATATCGCCGTCGCGCAAAAAGATGCATTTCTACATGTAAAGTGGCAATAACCAAGGGAAAAGCTTCTGTTAAAGATTTATTGGTTTTACACAAAGCAGAAACACAATAATCAGTGGCTGCTTCTCCATCGCTTGATGGTGTATTGATTCTTCTCCCCCCATCTCACAAAAAGTGATTTTTCTGTAATTATGGAGGTTTTGTCTATCATGGACAAAAAAATAATAATTGTTTCTCATCCTAAGCTTCTTCTCCTACAGCTTAGGATGAGGAGATGCTGGATATTTCAGGTTTAGCTAAAGCCCTTCCAGAAGATTCCAGATGATGAATCCTTGGAGGAGGACGTTACTTCAGCTGCTGATTTTCATTCACCTATGGAGTCTCAACGCCAGAAAGAATTTGAATTGAAGATATGCATTCAGCTTTAAATTTAGGAGGATTCTGCAGTTTATACCCCTTCTACAGCATCTAGACTTCAGATAGACCCGACGTGTCCCCATCTTTCATATTTTACCACAAAATTGGGCATTATATTCTGTTTCTGTGCATTAAATTTCATTTAAGTGTATTTTATCCAAAAAATACTGGTTTGATAAACATTTGCGCAAATACCGTGCAACAAAAAATTACAACTAGCATTTTTTTTATTCTACATGGCCTCTGCTTTCAGAAAATATATCATTGCTTGGGGGGTTTGAAGCTGTTTTCCACCCAAAAATTCATATTTTATCATGTGTGTGCAAATGTAAGAAATTGTCTGGACAGCAAGTGATTAAAAAAAAAAACAACAATTAAATATTTCTAATTTAAAAAGGTTAGAAAAATAAATAAATAAATTTGGGGTGGGCCTGACTTTTTTTTTTATTTTCGGTTTCAAAATTTCATTTCGGTGCACCTCCTCATAAGACTGCACTGTACTTGCAAACAACTTAATATCCTCATATTTCAGTTCATAATTAGGCAGAAGGCACATGGTAGCAGTCAAATCTTACCTTTTACCAAAACTTACACACACACACACACACACACACAAACATAGCTGAGCTCTAACTCCCACCCCAGAATCTAAAGCTGGCCATACACAGATTGGATTTGATCTGTATCCTGCTGAACAAAGCGAAATACCCAGCTCAAAAGAGAGTCGATTTTTCAAGTGTATGTTGAAAAAGGAACCAGGTGGAAAATTGACTACCGGGCAGTGGCTGCAACCTATCAGATGAAGTCACTGTTCGGGTATTGTTGGTTGGAAACCAAGGGGATGGGGTATTCCTCTGGCTAATTCACTGATATAAATTTCTGCTTGAGCTACTGATCTCTGTAAAATAGGCTTTTTGTTTTGAGGCACAAAGAAAATATGCAAAAGAGCTCTACCTGATGGCTGTATATGAAAATAAAAAAATAATAATGTGCAATTTTCATATTTACATGAATAAAAAAAAATACAATAAAATTGTATGTGTAACTCCTGACTATGATAAATACAGAGAGCATATTCAAACCACTATGCATTACCAGGTGTAGCTATGAGACTTGCTTTGAGAGTGCCTGGCTCTGCAGGTACAGCAGGGCGCGAGCCTTCCATTGATTCTCCTTCCTGAGAGTTTGTGCGCAATATAGGCTCAGCTGGTTTCTTTTTGCGCTGCAGTGCACGCTGTATGGATGGGGGATCTGAAGGCAGGTTTGCTAACTGGTGAAATACAGTGCGCTTCCGAATAATGGCATACACTAAACTAGAATTACCTATACATGAAAAAGAGAAAGGAAAGGAAGTTGGGAGGTTTATTAAAAGATTGCTGTAAAAACATTATAATAAAACACATGTGACAGGAAACCAAAAAAGTGTGAACAAATAAAGATAAAGGCAGAGGCACTCACCATCAAACTGATACTGAATAATATTGTTGAAAACCTCAAGCAAGAAGAAAACAAGATGATGATTCTGCGGAGAGGAGAAGAGGAACCAAGGACTGGAGAAAGCTTCGAGGAGATGTAGTAGCTTGTTGGCAGCCACCATGGAGAGGGATTTCAAGTATGGAGATACTGGAAGCACCAAAAACAAATAAAAAACATGGCCATAGACTTGAATTTGCCACTGCAGATTAGATATGCACCTGTCACAGCTATACGTAAAATACAGTAGCCAACACAACAAGTGATCCCTATATGATAAATGAGCCATATAGTTGCACATGACCCTCTACCAGCTACTCTACAGCCCTCTTAAATAAAAATGAAATTGTATTGGACCCCAATTGAAGGATGAAGGCATGTCACAGCTCTACACTCCCAGTGACACCCCTGGAACCTGGGGCACCAGCCAGAATTAGCCCGACTATGCTCTTTGAGATCAATGAATCAAGCATCTGCACTCTGATAACATCAGATCTCATCCAGTCTTATATAAAGAAAGTTGGATGAAAGTTGACGTCACTGGAATGCAGCTGCGTGCTTTATGTATTAGGTCGCAGGTAAAGCTAACCTAATTTAGCAGCTGAGTACTTTAGGAAATGTTTTAAAAGTAACTTGCAGCCAGGTTATGGACATTAGCTGCAGGCACTGTGGAGCAGTTCATGTTTAAAAGGTTCATACAAGAAGCTTTGACATTAAATAGAGTATTTTTTTTCCATAGTTCAGCTACCTGAACCACTTCTGTTGCCACAAAGCAGGAGATCTGGGAGGTTTTGCAATTGTTAATGTCATTTTAAGCATCAAATCACCAAAGTGGCCCCTCGAGGAATAATTGCTTTTAATTTGACTCACTGTTTCATTTCAGTTTGCCAGGCATGCCATAATATGAAGCAGAAGACAGCTGGACTGGTGATCCAATACACGTGCAACAAATGCACATTCGATTTCACAAATATATTCCATCCTTTCTGTCCCAACCCGCGTCCTCAAATTCAGTTAAAAAAAAAATCCCATCTAAGGGTTAAGTTAGGGTAGCAAAACTCCAATGCAACTTTATTGTAAATTTGAGCATTGGAGTCTGGGAGATTTTTCAAACTTTAGTCTCCATGCTATTCTTGGTTAATTATTTCAATTATTAAAAAAGAAACACTATAACAAAGCTGCCTTTACTGAAAAATGTGTTGGCACAATTGGGCAAAATGTACAGAAATATCTGCTAGTCATGAATCTGACTTGAATCTGAACTCAGGAATTAAAAATGCACTCAAGTGTCTTAACTACTGACAAAAATGGATCTTATTTGTGTATCACTCAGAAGTAGATCCTCAAATCATCTTTGAATTGGTGCTGATGCTGTCCTTCATTCTGGAGGGTGGCTACTTTTGTTCCCCACGGTCCCTGTGTGTTGTAAAGTAGCTCCAAGCTCGCCCCTATGATGGACTACAATCTCAATATAAATGAGTAAACTAAACCGGATATTGTAGTCCATCACGGGAGCGAGATTGGCGCTACCGTATTTGCCAGCGTATAAGGCGACTGGGCGTATAAGACGACCCCCTACTTTTTCTGTTAAAACATAGGTTTTGGGCTATGCTCGTTGTATAAGACAAGTATAGACCAAAATAATGTTTGAATACACCCACTAACCTCCACGGCGGTATTCCCGAGTGTGGCTCGGGGTTAATTTTCAGTACCATAAGCGGACCCCCCGAGCCACACTCGGGATTAGTCTCTTATCTTGTCCACGATCCCCGCTGTGTCCTCCGTCTTCCGGGTTCCGTCAGTATACCACGCTGAGCCAATCACGGCAGGCTTTGTATTCATTAATACAGGCTTTGTATTCATTGGCTCAGCGCGGTATACTGACGGAACCCGGAAAACACACATCCATACACGGCGTATAAGACGACGCGCGATTTTCGGGGGATGTTTTTAAGTTTAAAAACCTGTCTTATACGCCGGCAAATACGGTACTTTACAACACACAGGGACCATGGAGAACAAAAGTAGCCACCCTCCAGAAGGAAGGACAGTGTCAACAAATTCAGAGATGATTTAAGGATCTACAGCTGAGCAATACACAAATAAGATACATTTCTGTTAATAGGTAAGGTACTTGAATGTATTTTTAAGTTTTAATTTTTGAGTTAATGTCAAGTTAAACCCTGCAGATCAGTTCACTCATATGTAGTAGCTGTAAAATAGTATAAGGAATATATCTTAAAAACTGATAGTATCCATAAATAAAATATAGCTTTGGTAAGTATTTAATTTTATTGAATATATGTGATAATAAAATAGATTTGTGGTTATCCATTTTGCTTAGTAAAATAAACAACTTGAATGGTCAGTGTTATTTTCTTAAAGTGACATTAAACCCTCAGATTTTTTAACATAAAACAATACTGTAATGTGTGCCTTATTGTAATCCATGGTTGTTTCCCTTCTCTTTGATGCTCTTCCTTTTAAATATGTATCTGTTCTCATGCTTGGAGAGAACTTCCTTTTTCAGCAGACTGCCTTGTCTCACACGGTGTCTGTGTATAGGCTGTAACCTGAGCCAGCACTACAGGAAGAGGCCCTGAGCTGAAAAGGGAAGTTCTCTCCAAGTATGAGAACAGATACATATTTAAAAAGGAAGAGCAGCTAAGAGAAGGGAAACAACCATGGATTACAGTAAGGCACACATTACACTATTGTTTTATGTTAAAAAATCTGAGGGTTTAATGTCACTTTAAGTGAATTCACAACAGGTAAGATGAAAAGAAGGTGCATTATAATTAGGACATAGCCTAAACAACACCTTACAGAGTTGTGCCTACCACTATCTGCCTCAAACATATTTTCTTTCTTATAGGTCTACCAAACCTTACTTTTACTCCCCTACCTCCCTTTCAACCACTGGAAGCAAAGGAAGGACTCTCCCCCCAACCCAGTGTCACAGTGCTGGGCCAATTTCCAATGCACCTGTGCTGTCATATGTGAGGAAGGACACACAAACTTTCCTCATACTTCGAAGAACTGAGGATTTATTTTCGCTCTCAATGCCTCGCAATGCGAGGAGCGAAGGAAAGGTCAGTAGATGCTGCTGGGCAGAGAGGTAGTTAAGTTAACCTGTTGCTTTGTCCTGTATGGGCAAATCACAAGTTCTTTTTTAAAAGAATTCATAGATAACAGACATTAAAGTTGAAGTCCATGCAGTTCCAAAATGATCTAAAATTGTCACCCTCTTCTCCCCAAGCTTTTTTTTAAAAAGGATCTATTCTTTGTTTTGTCTAGGGGATGGTATAAAACAGAGTAATTCTTAACTTAAAGAAGAATTCCAGACTAACAATTTCTTATGCCTTGCACCCATTTCTTATCCCAGCACTTCAAGGGCTAAGTGCTCGTTATACCAAACTGCCAAAATAACAAAGATTTACTCAACCAATCCTCAGAGCCAGCTGACTTGTAGACTGGTCCTTCCAGCATGTCTTCGCCTCTACTCCAGCAAAGGTATGTCCATCTGTGTTTTCATGTCCCATACAGTGTATATAGAACGTGATGACTCACGGGACTTTAAGATCGCTGGAGCAAAGGGGGAGTGAGGCTGGAAATACTGGTCTAACAGCAAGTCGGCTGCAAGGTTCGGGTGAGTGTTAACTTTGTAATCGTCACACCTTGATGAAAACAAGCATTTAACCCTTGCAGTGCCAGGGTAGCCCCACTGTAAGAGATAAGAACATTTTTGCCTGGAGTTCTTCCCTGCTGGTTTCAGGCAGTGTGGTCCTCTTCTTTTTCACGCAGGAATGTGGGCGGCACACATACATCATCACATGCAATGCAAGACCAGTGGTGGCCACAGGTCCTTTATTGTACGTGATGTTGAGGAGAGGAGCCACAGCCAGAAGTACTACTTTGTGTTTTCTCATCCCTAAAAAAAGCAAGCATTAGATCCTTTATCAGCTTAGGGGATGTACAATATTAATTATTTAATATCTGCCCAGAGCTAGGCTTTAACTAATTATTGGTATAATATTTATATCAAGCATGCAAACACATGCATGCACATTTACAGAAAAAGTATGAAGTGACAGCCAAGGACAATGTAAATGGCTGTTTTAGCATGAACAGGGAAAATAATGTTTTAAAATCTATTTACACACAGTGTTCACACACAGCAATGTCTGGCAAAACAGGCTTTCATAGAGGATACAGATTGCCAGCTGACTGCTAACACATCTATTAATGCATGTGTACATGTTTTATCTGCCAATACACCAAGAAAAGATGGATAGCTCCACCATGTGGCCAAATCACCAATCACAGGGAAGGAGGATCAACCCTCAAAAGCCAAGACAAAATCAGCTATTTTGTTGCCAGTAATCAAATTTTGTACCATTCACTATGATGGTAAGCAGACAGTCATATAGAGGTTGCAGACGTTGGTGTCCACTGGTGATGATCTTGTGGAAAACCTGGAAAGGAGAAAGGCAAAGTAAAAAAAAAAGAAAAAAACACACACATACAAGACACACCGAATTAAAAAAAATGACATCCAAGTGGTAATATAGTATAAGCCGGATGCAATAATTATATTCAGAAGCCAGTATCAAGTGCATGACTTTTCCCCACTAATTGTACCTACAATAATGTGCGTTTAAGAAAGAACTCCATCAGAGATGCCATTGCCAAGATGCCAAGCTCCTAGTGAATAATTCACTGCAAACAAGCATGTGCATATTAGATTTCCTGACACCTCATATACACATGTCTGTTCCAAATCAATGCTATGATGTTTTGAAGCAAAAGATAAAAGAAACTAGCCCTGGACCTTGTAGCTTAAAGTGACACTAAACTCGGGAGGTAAATCTTAAAAATGCATTCAATTATCCAATCTATTAACAGAAATGTATCTTATTTGTATTACTCAGCTGTAGATCCTCAAATCATCTCTGAATTCATGCCAACATTGTCCTTCCTTCTGGAGGGTGGCTACTTCTATTCCCCATGGTCCAGGTGTGTGTTGTAAAGTAGCCACAGTTCCAAGCTTGCTCTCGTGATCATTTATATTAAAGCAATAGTCTAACTAATTAAAAATGAGATTGTAGGTATATTTTATACCTGGTAGGGATACACAGGTATCCTTTAAAGTACTGTAGTAACTTTTGGATACTACATTGTTTTAGAGTGATCTTCCGGGTCCTGTATTGTGCTGTGCGAATTTCCTCTGGTCAGAAAACAGAGGGGGGTCACTTGCTTGGCACAGCAGCCTTCAGAGAATGCCAAGCAAGCGAGACCCTGTGCTTTCAGAGCAGAGGGGAAGTCGCTCAACACAGTGGCAGTACAGTAGCTCCGGCTACTACAGTGTTTTACAGGATCCCTGTGGCCCTACCAGGTATAAAAAATGCATACTTACCTTGGGCAAAGCTGGACCAATACGTATACATAATTATTTATTCCTGGAGTATTTGACATGTGCTCATTTACAAGGTTTAAGTGCAAAGAGGTGTATACCACCTCCTTTCTCACTCTTTTCTTTACAATTTTCATTAAGCACTGGAATTCTAGCCATCGCTATATTCTTGGCACTCCAAAACACTAGACCAGGGGTAGCCAAACTCCAGCCCTCCAGCTGTGGTGAAACTACAAATCCAATAATGAATCTCTCCGGGAGTCATGTCTGTGGCTGTGAGAATCTTGCAATGCCTCCTGGGATTTGTAGTTCCACCACAGTTGGAGGGCCGGAGTTTGGCTACCCCCGCACTAGACCTTTGGGCCTCCTATAAAAGCAGCTGCTGCATTGTTTGCCTGACCCTCTTCTCCTTTTGCCTAATCACAGAATGTTTTATAGTCAGAGTCCTTTTTAAATCGAGAGATTTATGCTGATATGCAACATTAAACTTTCAGCTCAATAATTGGGCATGCTTTTGACCACGAGATTTTGCTATCTCATAGCTGGACTAGCAGAAGCCAATTCTTTATTTTGAGTTCAATAAATATTGCAAAGACACTTTACACGAAGGTCCCTTTCGCATGAGCGGTCCGATTTTGTCCACCTGTCAGTTTTTCAGACGCTCTATGGAAGTCTATGGGCAGCCGGGTTTAAAGGACGAGGCGAATCATTGATCAGTTTCGACGGACCGGATCATGCCGGACCTGAGGTAATCTGATGTAAATGGACACATGTCTGTGTCTGTCAGATTCCCCATACACTTGCATGGGGTCCGGCAAGTTCTTAAACTGTATGGACACGAATGTCACATTGGTGACATTCGATCTGTGCCGCTCTGATCAGGAGAGCATCTGTGGACGGATGCTCTCCTGATCAGCCAGTGTGAAAGGGGCCTAATAAAGACAAAACAGCAAAGGATATAAACAATAAAAGCAAAACACTGCACCCCCTAATAAAGGATAGCCAATTTACATTTTTATGAATCTGGTAAAATAATTGCACAAAATAGATTTGTCATTTGGCTGCTTCATTAAGCCTTGAATTTTGAGTGGTGCGCCCATTTTATTTTTGCTTCTCCTCTATGCAAAGTTTAATACCTTTACATTGAATGCCAGGTTAACTTCTCCCCCCCCCTGTTGCCCTTTCGCCTACATTAGTAGACTGAATTACATGTATGGTGTGCATCTTGCCTTTAGATCTTTACACCAAGTCTGCATACCTGCTCTTGGCATAAAGAGTTATGATATCTATGGTGCCATTTCTATGCTGTAGGGTGGTAAATGCAGCCTTAAAGTGACATTAAACCCTCAGATTTTTTAACATAAAACAATACTGTAATGTGTGCCTTACTGTAATCCATGGTTGTTTCCTTTCTCTTTGCTGCTCTTCCTTTTAAATCTGTATCTGTTCTCATGCTCTGCAGAACTTCTGTTTTGCAGCAGACTGCCTTGTCTGAGGAATAGATACACGGTGTCTGTGTATAGGCTTGTAACCTGAGCCAGCACTACAGGAAGAGGCCCTGAGCTGAAAAGGGAAGTTCTCCCCAAGCATGAGAAGACATGAGGATTTAAAATGAAAAGCAGCAAAGAGAAGGGAAACAACCATGGATTACAGTAAGGCGCACATTACAGTATTGGTTTATGTTAAAAAATCTGAGGGTTTAATGTCACTTTAATTTATCTCACGGCGTGAAGTGAAGTTGACAGAACTGAACCTGGAACCAAACTATACACAAACTCACCACAATAAGCAGGTCTGCATGTGTTCCTGTAAACACCGGGATATCCAAAGGGACTCTGACAGAGTATGGTTTGTTCAAGCGAACACCAAAATTCCTCTCGCCGCTAAGCAGCAGAAGTATAAACACTCCAATGTGCATGAGACCAACACGGGCTGTATGAAAAGATATGATCGGACATTCAGTAGTTAGGACAAGGCAATGGTACGCAGAGGACATAGGAAAATGGAAACAATGGAGATATACAACATTTCCACCATCTGAATGTTTTCCCCAGGTTTGTATTGGTTTCCTCCAGATTGCCCCATTTTCTTCTTACAACATAAAAGCATACTCTTCCCCCTTCAAACTGCCCAAAATGTACATATGTGTGTTATTTAGACTAAAATGTGAAAGGTCTATATACTCTTTAAAGAATTTGTGGGCACTATTTAAATGGATAAATAGATACATAAGACAGTTAAGGGCTTAGATCAGGGGTAGGCAACCTCAGTACTCTAGCTGTGGTGCAGCTACAATTGCCTAGGATGATGGTGCTCTGGGAGGGATGAAAAAAGGCTACATGTAAAGGCATCTACCAGATAAAAGAGAAAGAGGAGAGACAGGAGCGCACCTTATTAACATCAGTGTTTAAAGTTCTCTAGAAAAAAAAAGGTAACACGTGCCAAGGTTGTGACCATAAGATAATGGTAAATGCAACCTTCCAAGAATGCTTGTGGGGAATATAGCGGTCACCAAGCAGAGGTGATTTGTGGTCACTCTCTACGCCTGGGGGAGCCCAATAAAAGACCCATGAGGCATTTAAAAAACCAACACCCACATACACAACTCCTAGAGGCAGCGGCATGATTAGATTAATAGTTTCACCACACCTGAAGTGCCAAGGTTGCCTACCCCTGGCTTAAAGCAATAAGGAAGAGGTAAAATTAGTTGTTGATAAGTGAAGACAAAGACGAGGAAAGTGAAGTCTCACACTGATCCGCCCGTGCATCGTTCAGGAAGTACAGAATTGGAACCAGTATATCCAGGACATCACTGCTCTTCAGAACAAAGAACAGGAACTTCTGTAGGAGTGAGAGACAGTATTGGTGAGAAAAGAAGCAACAAGCCTATAAGACACACCACCCAGATAGTGCAGGAGACTTGTCCACTGACTGCACAGACAGAAGAGAACAGGTAGCATCCTGACCTTGTTGAAGTCACATAGTTTCCAGAACAGGACCAGTAATTCTTGGTGGAACTGGATTTTCTTAGCGGAGTTTGGCAGGTATGTCTGGCTGAGTGGGTTCAGGAGTAACCGGGCCAGGCCCTTCAAGATAAACTGGAAATCCTGAAATCAGAGAAGGTAAGGCATTCATCAATTACTTTGCCCATCTTACTCGTTGGTGAACAGATGAACATATTGCCAGAGGAAGCAACACTGATCCTATGTAACGTGCCGTTAACACACCATCATAACCATTGTCCTCTTCACTTAATGGATTTTTTATTATTATTAGGTCATAATAATATATTATTATATGGATTCATTATCATAATTTGGGGTATCACTAATATTTTTTTTAGCTTTGGATAGATTGTCCAATAGTCAGAACCTCGGTCCAGTTTCTTGTGCTGTCTGTAGCCCCACTGCAGAGATTTACTGTCACTTTTTGCTCCAGAGACAGAATAGGAAGTGAGAAGAAATCTCTCCAAAGTGAAGTTACATTTCCCAAAGGCCCCATTCACACTTGTACATTAATTTTTGCACTTTTTTCCCCGTTTGTTGCATATGGCCCATCTAATAGGCTGCTCTATGCGCAACACCTGTGGCAAAGAAGCTCATGCACCTTTTTGAGCTTCGGACTTTAACCACACAAAAAACATGTCTTGCTTGGTGTGTCTGGGATACCATTAACAATGAATGGTACCACAAGCGCGACATGCTTTTCTTTTGTGCATTCACAAGCTACGCTAATGTGAAAAGGGGGTTGGGAAGTACCAGAACAGTGCCGCCAACTGAAGATTTCACCTGTAAAATGTTGCATTTCCCATAACTCTCTATTCCACTGGCAGAGGTCATCAGGACAAATAGAGGGTGAATCTCCCCAGCAAGGCCACAGGCAGCAATAAAAACCTGACCAGGGCTCTAACCTTTTCCCATTCTATACCAAACAACAACAACAACAAATAAAAAAAAATTGCGGCTATAGATACACATTCAGAAGGAGCTGAATTCCCCTAAAGAAAACATGGAAAAGTCTCCAATCCATCATTCTGCATTCAACTTCAGCTAGTCTGTCTGCCTATAAATTTTACGTTTCTTAGGGCTAGTTCACACCAGCCACAGTGTGTTGCGGCCCGATTCTGGCCGGAACACACTGCGGCCAGCTCACTTTGTTGTGGGACCGCAGGGTGCATCGAACTCAATGGCACTGTAGCCACGCCCTCCAGCTGCATTTTGATCGGCTGCACAGGAATGCAAGGCACGTCATTGACTGTGGCCCGGTCAAAAAAAAAAAGCTGCAAGCACTATTTTTTCTGACCGGACCACAGACATTGATGCGCCGCACGGGACATCAGATCTTTCTTCCTGTGGTGATTACAATGCGTCAGGCAGCTGTTCCAACTCCCAATATATTTCTGGACCATTGGAGGAAATTAGGTTTTCTGTAAGTAACATCCAAATATGGGGAAACAAAACACCATTTACATCATGCATTGGTGGATAATGAACCCAGCACGCCAGCATTTCAATGTCAAAGGGCTAATGGCCAAGATATTGCATCACCCACTATTCATGGTTAGAGTCTGTAGTAATACAACCAGCAAAAACACAAAAGTACAAAACAACATACTACTCCAAGGTTTTAGGGATCATAAGGAGAAGAGTGCGAGTTGCCTGGCTGACATGCTGAATCAATGGGTTTAATACTAAACCAGAACAAATATGCAGATCCTGTTTAATGACTTTAAACGCATGTCTAGCGGAATTTTTTTTATACGTTTTAATAGAATGGGGAGAGAGTAGAAAACCAGTCAGGACTCCATTATGTTTTCACCAGACAAAAGGAGAGTGTAAATCTCCAACAGAAAATAAAAAACCCAAAAAACTAACTTTTTTTTTAGTCAAGTAGGGAAGGCCAAAGCCCCTGTCAGATTTTTATATCTGTAGATGTTCCTGCCCAGATTTCCCCTCATTTCCTGTTTGGTTAAAGGGTTTTCAGCAGAACAGGAAGAGAAGACAAATCTCTCTAATGGAGACCCGGATAGCAGTGGAACCTGACAGAGGCTTTAACCCTTCCCTACTTTATTCAAAATGAAATTTATATTTATATATCTATATAGATAGATATATAAATATAGATATATCTAAAAATCAGTTATAAGTTTTCTCTGGGCATGCACTTTTACCTTTCTGATCTACTTTCAATCAGTATGACAGCCAGGCAACTAGCATTTCCATAATGATGGGAATTAAACAAGAAAAATTATTATTATTCCTTCTGTGCATCTGGAACACATATGCTAAGAACTGCTGTATTAAAGAGAAACGTTACCCATATCTTTGAAAGAACAGCAAACACACCTTTAGAAATGTTTAGTAATGGCAATCTACAAACAGATACTTCTAGATATTTGTTGGCTTTGTATGCTTTGCATACTTTTTTCTTCTTTTCCTCCCCATTCTTCTCGCAGTGGCCATTTCTACTAAAGGCAGACCATTATAGCTCCATTTACTTCCTGAAACTCTGGCAAATGTGACTAGGACATGTGACCATGCACATCATCTCAGGGGAAGAAAATGCCTTTCCCTGAGATCTCTTAAGATTACAGATGAGATTTACCAGCAATGCTCTGCTGATGTAACCTTTGGCACAGGCTGCATCACTAATGCCCAAGAGGACCAGGAAGTGGAAAAACAGTAATTGTAAGTAAAAGACAAATATATGTAACGAATGGAAGATGATTTCATATCAGTATGCAGAGCTGCATGCTGATATCATTTTTAGTGAAAGGGGGTAAATGTCCTTTTTAATATGATGCCTTAGTTTTTGTTATACTGCTCAAAGTAAACAACTGTAAAGAAATCTATTAAAACATAATACACCTTCTCACCTCCTCTCGGTGGATCCGTGACAGATAATTCACAAAAAGATTGTCTGGTGCTGGGCTCTGAAACATAGAAAACAGAAAAGAATTAGACTCGTTTGTCATAGAGCAGCACTGATGAGGTCAGAACAATAAATGTTTAGAGTTATAATGTGACCTACTTCACCCTCGTCCATGGCAGTGCTTGTGGTGGTTCCATCCATGCTTGGCCCCGATGAAGCAGATGGATCAGAGTCCAATGTTACAATGAGAAGCTGGGCAGAGATCTCAACTAATGGCTCACGCGAGTCCCAGAACAGGAGGTGGTTGTAAGGGATCCCATAGCCAACAGGATCATAAGCGCACACTACATTCAATAGAGATGTGAAGAGAGGCAGAGCATGTCTGTATAGAAATGGCAAAGTAAAGAAAGAAACAACATGAACATATCAGTAATAAACAGACAATACAAATCAAGAATTATCGTAAAAATCACTGAAAATGAAAAGCAACAACGAATGCCAAGAGACATGCAAGCTTAACGACCAGACACAAATATATTGATAGAATAGTGCTACCATGAGCAGTATTACATATTTAGGACATTAAAAGGGATGACACATGCATTTAACCACTTGCTGTCCGGAGCAATCATTGCACACACATGATAAAATCTGAATTTTTGCCTAGAAAACAGCTTCAGACCCCCAAACAATTGACTACAATGGTAGATTTGGTAAGCTGTACAGCCTGCCAAAGCTGACATGCTTCTTGGGTGCGGCATGTGTACACACCCGAGTGGGCACCATATTACATTTTAGGTGGGCAGTAAAAATGCAAATCAACCGCCTGTTTTACCGCCCCTCTGCCGCCCTTGTACATTAAGCCAAAGCATACATGTCTGCATGGCGGTCATTAAATGTTGCGATGTTCTAAAAGCATTTAGGAATATGTTGATATTCTAGAAACAAAATTAATCTGCAGTATCTGTGGTTTTTTAACATTCCTGCAATACAATGCTGTACAGTAACTGATACCGAAAATTTGTTTTTTATTTTAATCTTTTCAAATATTTTATAAACGTTTTAAATTATATTTATTAATTCATTTTTTATTAAATATTTTTAGCTTTACTTTTAGGGGCTAAAACAGACCCCTGATATTTCCCTTTTAAAATAGAAAAATAAATTGGGGACACAAAATCCTCAAACTCTTTTTATGCAGAGACTCTGTTCTAAATGAATGGAAAGTACAGGAGGCTTCCCATTCATTCAGAAAATATTTGCTATCAACCAGTTTCTTGGGGAGAAGCCTCTGTACAGAGTGCTACTCCCCATTGAGAAACTCAGGAATGAACAGGAAGTGATGTGAAGCACTTCCTGTTCATTCATAACTGGGGACACACAGTACTATGTGTCCCCAGTTATTTACAAACACTGGAGTGATCAGCTGCACAGAGGATCGGTATAGATCACTGATGTGTACCGATCCTCCACCACGCACAGAGGGACCGTTCAGCCTGGAGATTTTCCTCTGGATCCCCACTCCCCTCCCAGGAAGAGGCAACGGGGATCCATGAAGCTGGAGAGTGACACGAGAATGCGGAAGTGATGTAATATACATCACTTCTGCATTCTGACACCGTAGAGAGGGGACAGGAGGGAGATGGTGTACCGACCTCCCTCTGATCGCGTCACAGAGGCACTATGCTGGTCCCGGGCTCGCGCCGGGCACAGCTGAGCCTGGGACCAGCGTGACAACAAGAGGGGGGGCCACGGTGGGAGGGGGGGCCACGGGCCGGCAACTTATACAAGCGATCCGCCGGCTCTATAGCCAGCGGATATCACTGCCGGTTTTTAAATGTTGTGTCTTTCTGGCCCGCACCACACGGCGCTCACGAGTGGGCGGGGCTAACAGTCCGTATATATACACTGCCTGTTACATCCAGGGAGCTCCCGGCCGGCGTAAAAAAACGCCGGGAAGCAGTTAAATGATGGTAGTTGCAATTTTTATGTCACATGATATTAGATCAAGGGCTTATCAAATCCATATTTTCAGTAAAAAAAATAAAAACCCTTAAAAAAATTCATTTTAGTCCATACAAACACAGTAAAATGTAAAAGATGTGACTGAGTCAAATAAAACCGATACCAAAGATGTCAAGACGTACATGTGCATTTGTGTTTTATATGTGCATGTGAGAGATGGATGCTTTGATTTATGTCTGTGAAGGTTTTCATTCATCCAAGTCATGGTATATCTGTAAAAAATAAAATCAAGGCAACTGGACTTGCTGTATTTTCTTGGATATTTTGCTGGTCAGCGGACTAGCTTTCTCAATTCTGAGAAAGCTAGTCAGATGGCCAGCGAAACGTAATCAAGACAAAACACACTTCCGTGTTTCTCAACCCACTCCCTGTAAGTCCAAAGCATCAAGCAGACATTGGGATGCATCACCATGCAAGTCTGGGTTCACAGTACAATACTGCAGGCTGCTGTGACCTCGTCATAACCGCAGGACATCAAGTGAGAGGCTAGAATCCCCAGGAAAAAAAGGTTTTTATAAAAGCACATTTTTAAAAACAGATGTGGGGGGAGGTGCGGTCTAAAAAAAAAAAATAACAAAAATATGGAGTTCTGTTTTAAACGGTTTAATAAATACCCTATACGTAGTGAAGGATGTGTAAAGGAAATACACAAATATGCTTTATTCACTTACCTGTTTTCAGTGGAGCAGAAAAACTGCACCCATGGGTTGGGCGTGTTACTGCTCTCTGATGATGGCGGGAGGTACATAGCCTCTGAGAAGCATGTCAGTAGTAGTTTAAGAAGTTCTGTCCTAAAAAGAAATACAAATCAACACATGTAAAAGGAGTTTAGAATGGGCAAAAAATCCCATTGTGTAGTCTTTCTTGAACCGTTGCCGAGATGCTCACCTACCTGTTGAGGTCATGTGCGTGGTTAGGGGTTGGAGAGTGTGCAAAGCCAACACCGGCCTCCCAGATGTATTCACAGCTGTCTAAGGTATGAATATCTTCTGCTGCATCCTAAAGAGAGGAAAACAAAGTCACATCAATACTCAACTTACATCTCAGACATCTGTATAAAAACTAATATCAGATATAGAGATAAGCAAATTGTGGCCCAATATATTTATTTGATTTGCTCCACATAGAGATTTGCTGTTCCAACATTTTGTTTCCTATTCACTCAATGAGATTAACTTTAAAAGAGAAATCATTTTAATTTTAACCATACCTACTGCAGGGAATCATTCACCATTATATTAGCGACATTAATATAATGATATGATAGTGCGCATTGTCTTTCATATTAAAACTGAATGTTTTAGCCGTTCAGTTAGTGTAAATGTAACCTTAATCTGCCCTGGATGGACAAAGCATGGGATCATCTGCCCTGGATGGACAAAGCACACACAGGATCCCCTTTATCAGGCTCAGCAATGACTCTGTATTACTTAGGTTTGCCATCCTGGCTCAATTCCATATTTGATTTTCAGGACTGTTTGTTTGTCCTCATTTTTGCGTGTTGTATATACGGTACTTTTTTTTTTTTTTGTAGGGAGAATGGATTAGGCATCACTTTTGCTGTATTATTTTGTGTTTTTTTTTTACTTTAGAGTGGGGTAGGATTAGAACCTCAATCTGGTTTTTATTGCTTTCTTCAGGTTACAATGTCACTTCTGGTTCCAGTTGCCCATGTCATTTATGGCTTGAGGAAAGCATAGGCATGCGCAGTAAGCTCTCAGGCTTGAGTCTGGGGCATTAAACCACATCGGTTTACAAGACGGAGGTATAATACCGCAACTATGTGTTGTGAAACTCGAAAACCTAGTATCCTCTTTATTGATTATTATTGCCCTTGAAATTCACTGGACATTCTGGGCACTTATAGTATTAATTTTGTTGTTCCGTGTTGTCTTGATTGGGAGGACTGGACACAGGTAGGTTGTGTTTCATCCATTATATACACAGTATATACGCGTATATGTTTGATGTGTTCACAGTTGTCTGTCACCTTGAGAAAGTGTATTACTTCTGTTAAAGCTATGTTGTCATTGCATCTAAGACCTCAGTGAAGATTTGAGGTCTACCTCCTGGTGTGCTGGCCAGATTTAGTTTTTTGGATTTACAAGGTATCACCATTGGCTGCACACCATACTGAAGGCATAAAATGAAAGGGTTTGGGGAGGATTTTTATTGCTATCTGGTCGTCAGTTAGAGAGATTTATCCCCCACGGTCTGCCCTGGTGAATTAACAGACTTCCCTGAGCTGTCCTTTATTTAAAAATAGGACATTGCTTATGGTTTAGTCATGTAGTGACAGCAGGAAGCCTGCACTTAGTATATGTGTGTATATATATCTATCTATATATATATATATCTATATCTATATATATTGTGGCAGTGCGTGGCAATGCTATGTTGTCTTTTGGCAATATAGTCACCCAGGTCTCTCAGCCAGGGGGGCTGAGCAGTTCCAGAAAGTGCAACCGTTTACTGGGAAAGAGCTGGCTTTGCAGCTCTTCCCAGGTTTTCTGGATTTGGCTTGGGCTCATGGAACTGGGAGATTTCAAAGAGCATTGGGAGGGATGAAATTTCCATTCCTGGGTCCAGGCTTTAGTGGTGACCAGCACCGAAAGATTGTGCACCTGGGCACAGCCCTTATGAGAAAAATGCTGGCTCATGTTCAGGGCTCCACGTGGGTGACAGAGGAGGTCTCTGCAGGCGTCAGGAGGGCTCCACCCCGGGACCAGTCTGTGGCTGGCAGACTGTGGAGTAGGTCACCTGTGTGGTGAAAACGTTTGGTAATCAGACAACCTAAAGTCGGTGGACTTTGAAAGTGCTATTGTGGATGTGTATATTTTCCTGTGCATATATAGATATATATATAGATATATATATCACACACACACATATACTAAAGTGAAAAGCTAAGAACCCCAACAACCTCACAGGGTGGTGACAAAAGCAGATGGAAGTGGTCATTACTATGTACTGTACATTTGTTTTCACTCACACGGTAGATAATGATAGATAACATAAAATAGATTCATAGAACTCTCACCGTTCCACTTTTCCTGTGGCTCTGTACTGTAAAATCTGGACAGAAGAGAAGGTCTGCAATAGCCAGAAGCAGAGATTCGGCAAGGGGACGAGACCCATCTTCATCATCATCATCATCATCCTGAAAGAGAGAGACCTCCAGTAAGCTGCTGGTGATAGTTGCAATGCTAGATTAAAAGTGTATGCTGGAAAACCAACGCCACTTGCTACAGACTTCAGTTTTTTTTTACATAAGGTGTACATAGCATTGTCACTTAATGATCTAATAACTAGTATAGCAAGAAGTATTTTCTTTTTAACCATGTTATTCATATACAGTAAACTCCCAGTTATTCAGCACCCATGGGGGATCGGTAGATGCCAGATATCTGTTGTTTCTGGTTGCTTGAGAGTTAATAGTAACTCTCAAGCAACCACCACAGCCCTCCTTCCCCCCCCCCCCCCACGGAAACCCTTCCCGCTGTGTAAAGAAGCGGATTTGAGAAAGTTCTCTCTCAAGTCCACTCCTCTCCTCAGTGAGTGGGTACAATAGCCACGGCAAAAGATGTAAAACAAAGAATAAAGTAGCCACCACTTCAAACTCGCTCCCGTGATGGGACTTCAATCTCACGTTTAGCTACATAATTTGTAATAACTGCTTATTGAAAATTATAGTCGTATCACGGGAGCAAGCTTGGAGCGGTGGCTATTTAACAACACACACAGGGACCATGGGGAACAAAAGTAGCCAGCCTCCAGAAGGAAGGACAGTGTCAGTATGAATTCAGAGATGATTTGAGGATCTACAGCCGAGTGATACACAAGTAAGATACATTTCTGTTATTAGTTAAAAAGGTACTAGAAAGCATTTTTAAGATTTAACTTCTGAGTTTAGTGTCACTTTAAAGTTTAGAGGTCATAGCCAATCGGTGAGTGCTGGTCCTTTAGAATCATAATGATAAAGTACTATATCAGGGGTAGGCAACCTTGGCACTCCAGCTGTGGTGAAACTACATATCCCATAATGCTTCTGCCTCCGGGAGTCAGCACGGAATAAGGTCTAAAAGGTGCGATTTTGGAGACTTACTTACATTAACCTTATTGGTTTTGGAACTTCTGACGATAAACACAACGCATATCTGGTTTATAAAAGATGTATATCATCATTTAATTTCATATGTGCATGTATTGATTGATTCTTTTCTATAGAAGAAGGTTTTTATTAATGAAAATGATCGTAAAAATTGAGTTTGAGTGCGGTTTAGATATTACACTAGGGCTGGACAAATCCTAGGAACCAGGTAGTCAATGCTCCTTAAAAATTACAGCTGGTGCCTATCTTTTGAGGTTCTCTCTAATTTATGTCAAGGGTGCTAGCTCCTCAACAAAATTCTGCTGAATGAATTGCACTGAAAAAATGTGTGAATGTTGGGTGAGCATTGTGTGAATTGGGTGAAAACATTGGCAAATTGACCCATGTGTGTATGTGTTTTCCTTCAGCGGGCCCATGCAAGTCTTGTGAATATCCCCCTCTACCATCACAGAAGCCACTCTCTGCGCTGCGAGCTTTGTACATTTTTGCACATGTTGCTTGCCGTGTTTGGGGTGCCATTGACAATGAATGGTACCGCAAGTGTGACGTGCTTTTTCACACATTTTATAAAAGCTATTTTGCATGCATTCACACACGTAGCAACTGTAAATGGGGCCTTGGTGCTCTAATTGCAAGCTCCCCACTGGCATTCCTCAGGCTGCAGTGTCCAGTGCAAAGTAAAATGAGTAACTCCTTCTCATATGACTGCCACAGACACCTGTCTGTCCTCCACATTAAGGCTCTATACTCTCGCCAAACAAGCCCAGTACTCAACTGGGACTTACCAACACATCATGGAGTGGGGAACACCACTAAGGGGGGAAGACACCATCAAGGGAGAAATAAGTTACAGATGATGTCTGAAAATTCTAAATTAAAGCAGAGCATGCTAGATCACCTTTTCTTTAATATAATGTTACTGAATCTGTCCATCCCTTCTCTGCATTGATATGTACCATTCTACCAGACGAATTGAACAGAAGCTTGTCCTAATATATAAGATGTTGTGTTGTATGTTTTTGACATTATTTTACTAAAGTTACTTATTTTATTTTAAATGAATGAAATGCACCATATGAAGAGTACTCTTGTAAGCTCACCTGGCTTCGCCCTGCTCCAGGCACTGAGGACCAGAAAAATCCCCTCCAGTCTGGGTCCTCGAAGATATACGGTAGTACCCGAGTCAACAACCGAGCACAATTCAACACCATCTGCCTTTCTTTGTCTGAGTGACTCCCGCTGTCTGCGCCAGCCGCCAGCTTCTCCACTGCCTGCAAGGCACAATTATCCACCATAAGATCAAACAATGAATATATGGAAACATATTTAACAGCTGAACAGATGGAAGTCTGTTTACAACATATTAAATTTACAAAAACAGTAAACAAGCTCCACAACTGTCAATCTAATTATTGTATCTTTACCTAGCAATCGATTACCTGGAACAAGCCAGTGAAGTATGAAAAGACTAGAGCTGGGTGCGCACCAATCAAATTTTGATTCAAATTGGACGAAATTCGATTTGTGGCTGGCCCTAGCTCCACAACAAAAGTGGATCCTTAGATTTACTTTTTTTTTTTAAGGGACATGTTGGAAAATTGTTAGCCAATCAACTGCCAGTACTGTTCAGATATTCTGGCAATGGTGTAAATGGTCAGAATACAAGGTACACAGGGGAAGATACGTCCATTCACAGCCTTGGTGTGGATGGAGGAATCAAACAGATTTTTTTCATTCGGCCTCTATTAGTGTGTACCCATCTTAAGTTTTATTCTGTAGGCATGTTTTAGATGACTTACTAGATAGCAAAGCATATCTCAGGATGATAGTCCCCATCCTGCACCTATAAAAATAGGTCAGCAACTGCAGCTTCCATTTTTATCCAAGGAGAGTCTATTTACCAGCTTTCTAGTTCATCTTTAAGACATCACCTTATAGCATAGTGTTGCCAGATTTGATGGGGACTCCTCACGAACAGCACGGATCTCAGCAGCTGGGATTAAAGCAAACACGTCCTGTACAGAGGTGGCGGTGTCAGACCAAAACTGGTCCCAGAAGGCATCATCTGTCGCTTCAACTGGCTGCAAAAAACACCAAATGAGAGGAGCATTATTCATGGGAAAAAGGGAAAAGCTTTTCATAAAAGTGTTGGGCTACAAAAAAAAAAAAAACACACAAAATCAGAAAAAAAAAAAAAAAAAAAAAAAAAAATAAAGGAAAAAAAAAAAAAAAAAAAAAACAAAAAAAAAAAAAAAAAAAAAAAAAAAAAAAAAAAAAAAAAAAGGAACTCCGTGAAAATCAAAAAGTACCACTGCAATGGGGCTACACCCGCACTGCAAAGGCTAATTGCTCGGTTTGTCTAGGGGGCTAAAGCAGATTGGTCCTTGGCCCCGCTGGCACTTCACTTTCATGTTCTGAGTCATGGACGAAAGCCAGAAGGAACAAGGCAACAAACAATTCCGAAAGGAAGTCAGCAATGGCAGCCTACGTATTTACGTCTATAACATTGCTTTCAGGGTAATTGACATCAATGCCTGTAGTTTATCATTCCACAGAACCTCATATAAAAACAAGCAAGGAACCCCCCCAACTTTGCATATTTTGAGATCCACTTCCCTTCCTTTTTGTCATCGTTTCTTTCCTGCTTCCTTCCTCCGGCGTGCTTTTCTCCCCCTTTATTCAGTTACAGGACCAAGTACACATGTTCCCAGCTTCCACACTACCACCCTACTAGGTGTTTTGATCAGAAAGATGGGCAACTTTTAGCGCAATAATTGCCGGTACATGATACACCTCTGCCACAGCCGCAGTTACATGGACCCTAAAGAATTCATATGCAACAATAATTATTGGTTGAACCCAGACAAGGTTTTATATTCCCCACACTTTTTGCTTTATATTGGCTTTTAAAATTAACATATGTAATAATTTAGTGTAATATTAGCGCAATATAACACTTCTGGTACTTAAAAATGTTCATTTTTTTTATAGGCGGTCTATACATCAAACCTCTAAGAGGGACAAGGGGACTGGCTCCAAAAGCGTTACAGTCTCTCCAAATGACCTATGCTAGTTCAAATATGCCCAACGCTATAGTGGACTACAGTGTACTCCTATTTGACATAGAAAAAGAAAGTGAGGACACAGAGTGCTCAACCTCTTTTTCTGCAGCCTCTGTTCTAAATGAATGGAAAGCAAACAGTCGGTACAGACGCTTCCCATTCATTAACTGGTGATAGTAAAACATTTACTATCAACCACTTTCTGACTGGGGAAAAGACACTGTAGTGAGTGCTTCTCCCCATTGGGAAACTCATGATGAACAGGAAGTGATGTAAAGTGATTCCTGTTTATTCATAACTGGAGACACATAGTACTATGTGTCCTCAGTTGTTTACAAACATTGGAGAGCTCAGATGATTACTCCAGTGTTTGTGCTGCATTTACCGATCCTCCTGCTCAGCCATCAGAGCCGCCGGCAATCCAGGATTTGACAGCCGGTGGCTCTGATCTGCACACCGCTCAGCCATCCTAAACTTGCATCTCCCTCCAGCGCCGGCCATTTCTCCTCAGATCCCCGCTGCCACAGCCCATACAGGCGGGGGAGAGCAGCAGGGATGCGAGGAGAAACAGATCCCATCTTGGAGTGGCTCCAGGCAGGGAGGAGAGGGTATTTTTGTTAACAGCTCTCATCAGCGGCATGTCAGCCGCTGATGACAGCTATTAAATTTAAAGGGGACCGTCAGGGGAACCGTTCTGATATAAGCTCATGGCCGCTTAACCCAGAATGCGGTTACAGCGAAACGGTAAAAGCCACCGCCGTATGGTATACCGACGTGGCCAGCAGGGAAAAAAAATTTCTTACGCCGTATGCCATAGGTCGGTGGCAAGGAAAGGGTTAAAGTGACACTAAACTCAGGAGTTCAATCTTAAAAATGCATTCAAGCACCTCATCTATTAACAATACTGTATGTTATTTGTGTATCACTTGGCTGTAGATCCTCAAATCATCTCTGAATTGGTGCTGACATTGTCCTTTCTTCTGGAGAGGGGCTACTTTTGTTCCACCTGGGGAATTTTCTGCCATTCTTTGCAAATTCTCTCAAGCTCAGTCAGGTTGGTTGGGGACCGTCAGTGGACAGCCATTTTCAGGTCTCTCCAGAGATGTTCAATAGGGTTCAAGTCAGGGCTCTGGCAGGGCCACTCTAGGACATTCACAGAGTTGTTCCTAAGCCACTCCTGTGTTGTCCTGGCTGTGTGCTTAGGATCGTTGTCATGTTGGCTCAGTCTGAGGTCCTGAGCGCTGTGGAACAGGTTTTCATTGAGGATATCTCTGTACTTTACTCCATTCCGCTTTCCCTCAGCCCTGCAATTTCTTTGCTCGGAGGATGGGGCTTCACCCCTAAGAGCTCCATAGCCCTCTATGGGATTCATTGGTACTGATTACTCTGCCTCATTCAGTAATTCCCCAAGTACGTTTATTAAAATTAGAAATAATTCTCTGCACATCCAAAAAGTAGAAATGATTTTCTGCACATCCCATGCTCTCTGTGCCATTTTTTTCTCCAAACTGAATAGCAGCAGGATAAAACGGTACATGCCTGGTAGCAGGGATAGCATTCTAGATATCATTATTGTATGCCAGCACCCACAATAAAAAATAAATAAATTGTGCCCAGCCATGCCCATGTCACCAATAACCCACATTAGGCCAAGGCCAATGCCAATAATAGCATGTGCTATGACACGTTAATACTAGTAAATAAAAGTTGGATTATGCATGTGGCAAAAGAAGCAAGAACTAGGTCACACGTGAGCAGTCATAACCTGAACCATGCCAGCAGCTAGACACCCTGTGCTGAGCGAACAAATGGCAACATCTAGAAAGAAAGTCCTGTGTGGAAGTGGGCAGGACATTTCTGGGGTTTAATCAAATAAATTGATAAATTAATTTACTTTTGGAAATAGTACATAACAGTGTGTTCTTAGACTTTCCCCATCAGGCTCCACCCACTGTCAGTATCCCTGTCAGTATCCCTGGTCGTAAGGACGATGTCAGCTGTTCGGAACATTGTCCTTAAAGGAGAACTATGACATGAGTGATTTCCACTCACGTCATAGTTCTAAGCCGACCTGTGACAATGAGACTGTCACAGGTCGGCTCAGTAGATCGGGAGGTGAGGGAAAACAAAAAAAGGTTCCCTCACCTCTCGATCCTGTCACGGCTCTCTGCCGTGACAGGGGGAGGGGCTGGATTCCCCTCTCCGATCTGCCAGCGCTGACTGGCGGAATGGACGGGGGAGGGGGCGGGTACAGCTGGCTCTGCCTCTAGATAGGCAGAGCCAGCTGTCACTCACGCAGCTGGGCGGATCCCGTCATCTTAGTCGGGATCCGCTCCAGGTGCGGCGTCTCAGTATACCACGAGCTGTAGCTCGCGGTATACTGAGCTTAGGGTAACGGGAGGACGCTAGTTTGTGTCCTCCCGTTATGCCAAGGAGAACTATGGGGAAAAACACTGACCCCATAGTTCTCCTTTAACAACTAGTGACGCCCACTGTCAGTGACAGGTGAGTGGGTGGAGCCTGATGGATAATTCCGAGTTCCCATTAGGACAGCTCTGCTACAGAATGACAGCAGGAAGAGGGTGGGTGCCATGGCCAGCCTTCTATTGGCTATAGCACACAAATGAATCTGGTGCAAGCACTGCCATTTGTCATGTAGATGCACAAGGGTATGCTAAATAGTATCATAAACACAGTGGAGGGCCACGTTATGTACAGGAGGGGGGCAATGTTTTCAATGACCCAAAAGTGGGTCACCACGTGCCTTGCAGTGCACTAGGTGCGAGGATTCTCAACCTCCCCCTAACGCAGCACTGCGAGTTCTCACGCTGAGCAGCCATTCAAAATATGCTCCCCGATGCCGAGTGTCAGCTTGAAGTTGGGGGTATGACCGCGAGGGAGCTCCATCCATACATACATGCATTGCTTACAGCTCCCTGGCGTGCCCTGTAGAGGTGCCTGGACTGGAGTGCAAGGTTCCTGTACAAGCAATGCACATATGGATGGAGCACTGTCAGCGCACAGCAGCCTACACCAGACCCCGGCTGAGCATCCACTCCGGTTCACGTAGTGTAGTAGGAAGACTGGGTGGATCTTAAAGTAAAAGAAAAAAAAATGGTTTGGGGTGCCTATGCGTGTGAGAATGTCTGGAAGATTGTGAGTGTCTGTTAATGTTTTTGAGATCCCATGCAGTTGACGCACTGTACTACACAATCTTGTCTACACTGTGTCTTCTGCTCTGGGAGGCGAGTTGCGTTTCCATTCATTTGAATGGCACCCCAAAAACGCACCTCCCACCCACAGTTCGATCGCTCGCACCTGAATGCATAGTACCGCAATTCCGTCTGTTCCAATGCGGTGCGGCTTGGGTCACGACTTAAGGACAAATATGGGTACTGAGGTTACACAGGTTGAGAACCACTGCTTTAAGAGAACTCCATCCAAAGCAGAGGAACAGTCCGGGACTTTCCCTCTGGATAGGATAAACAGAGCATTGCATTGTGGGATGTGTTGGAAAGACTTTGTGGGTCAGATTTGGGGGGCTACTGAGGCTCCAACTGACACGCCAGTTTGCTTCAGTTTACATAAAGCACAAAACATTTCTGACCTCTTTGTCCTGGTTTCAGAGTTATTTCTCAATCAAACCCTGCCCGTGTGTCAACATGTCAGGTCCTCTAAGCCAGGCTTTCACCACATGAATCTTCTGCACCCAGATACATGCAATGTCACTAAAGTCACTCAACGTTTCATTCACGGCAGAGAAATTGTACAATTATCCAATGTCTCTCCTGGCTCCTACTCAGCTTCTCAGCACCAGGGGAATACTAAGCTGAACTCCAGTCACTCCTATGTATGAGCACAGCCAGGCCATTTCGATTTTTTTTACTTGTTTTGCATTTTTCAAGTGTTTTTATGTGCGACTTCTAGTAATGTGGCAGAAATGTGCATTTTTGGCCCCATAGACTTAAATGGGAGCACCTAAAAAATGCTTGTAGCTTGTTTGCTACAAAAGAAGCTCA